TTGTCTTTATATAATCAGCAAAGCTGCAGAAGTAAAGATGAAGGTTGACAAAAGCCAAGTTACTCCCTTACTTTTTACTAAATAAGATTGACAAATCTAATAAAGCCAAATTGCATGTAAAGTGACCCTGGCATATGAACTTACTAAAGTGTGATTGTTATTAAGTGTTAAATTCAGATGCAAAGCTATAGTTCATTATCTTTTATAATCAATTCAATTTCTTTCATTGAGCCTAGATTTCAATGACTTTGGACAAAAGGTTGCACATATGATAAAATAAAATGTACAAAAATAGAATAAAATAGTTTTAAAAGGTGATAAATAGGTGGATGTTTGTGGCAAAGTGATAGGTTAGCCTCACCTCAGTGTACCTTTCATATCTATGCAAGAAGAGTAGATTCTTCCAGGGGAAAATGTATTGACTTGATACAATCCATGTAATGAATGAATGTGTTGCAAAGATTAGAATGGGGAGGATATTTTAGGCTAATTTGCCTATTTGGATGGCATCACCAAGAAGGTGATTGCTATGGTTCTTCCATAGAAGTCAGCAGAAGATTTGTCTTTGACCTCAGAGCACAAATTGGCACTAAAAGCCCTTTGCTACTTTTTCCAGGCAAAAAACCGTTAACCTCTATATCCTGGCCAAACTCCAAAATGGGTGATTACATTCTGCTGCTCTAGTTTTTCCCTGCGGGCTCAACGAGATCTACCATAATTTCCTGATGTGTAGTGTTACTGCAAACAACCAAGTCCCTTTTTGCAAGGTTACTGTTAACTTTTTCCTCCTTGCCTCCTAATTTGTCTGCTTTGCCTTATCAGTTGTAGCTTATTCGAAAGTTCGAATTGTTTGGTTCTGGATCACAGCTTTTATTAAATTGAGGGACCATGAATATGTGCAGTGCTACAATGATAACAATATCTTTATATCACTTTTACTCTCATATCATATACATAGCATAGCCTGGCTATAAAAGGAAATGAAATGTATTTTTTTCCCCAAGCACTCACATAGTTATATTCTTGTCAAATATCACATCATGCTGGTCTTGAAAACCGAAAGTCAAAAATGCAGCCCAAAATTGCACAGCGTTCTGTATGTGTTTAAAAACCAATTGCCAATTTGCTGCAAAATAACGCATTGCTTAACTCTACATTGCACTAAAGCAATAACTTATTACACTTTAAAGAGATTATGATTTCCGTGGCCATACAATCTAATAATTTTTAGAAGAAGTTTGCACATCATTGCTAGCAGAATTCATTTAATTCATACTTTATATTGATCTGAGACTTTACTTTTACTCTTAGAAAAAACATTAAACACAAAAGTTAAGCAGCTCTGGTGTAACTGCCGATTTCGCTTTGGCTCTATAAAGCTGTAACGCCTGCACTCTGGATAGTTGCTTATTGAGTAACTTAAGCTAGTTAGAAATACCAGCACTGAAATCACTTGGTATTAGCACTTCTATCTAAAATAGAGGATGCAGTGCTCCTTCGCCCAGCATGGTCTTAAATAAAACAGCACTAAGTACAGTCTGGTGGATTACCCATATGGAGAAGCCACACAGATTCTAGCTCTGGGGATGTGAATTGATTGCCGAGTCCCAGTACCACAGGGTTAAGTGAAATGCTATCACAGTAATTTATTATTAAGAGAAACGGTGATGGCTTAGATTAAGAAGATTTGTCTGTCTCTTCTAATTAAGGTTAGATTCTTAAGAAGCTTTACTGTCCTTTGAAGCTACAGAGACTAAAATTAGGACTCTGGTTCTGTTTAAAATGTTACTAGGTTGGTCCGTAATCCCGTAGTGATTGCAGCAAGGGATCATTCTTCCAATGTTGTGATTCTGTGTTTGGAAGCTAGTGAGCCAGGACAAGACCCCATGAATCAAAGTCTGAGTAGTCTATTAATCAGCAACAAGTTGGTCCTGCAGAACATCGTAATGCTCTTTCAGTGACCCCTTAAAGGCTGCATAATAAACGAGAAGCTGGCAAAGAAATCAGCTGTAAGACGCAGTAAATTGTATTGCAGGAAGAGAGCAAATGGTAGCAGTAAGTGGGCTGTGTACAGAGGGTGAAGAAATGGTTAAGGGTGAAGATCTGTTTTCAGGCTGTAAGTGAAGTCATTTTTCAGTGGCATTTATAATCCTATACATGACAGTAGCATCCTAGGCTCTAGTGTCCTCACTTGGGGATGTACAGACAATGTCAAAACCTCAAAGCAATAGATGATTGCTTCCAACTTTTCTCATTATGGCCCTATTTACACAGCACACAATGAACTGTGGAGCTCATTGTTACAGGATAATAACAGCAAAAGTGTAAATTAAGTTCAAAAATTTTTAGCAAACTTTAAGCTTGGATTCAGTTTTCCTTACAGACGTGTAGACCTAGAGCAGCTCTGCCTAGATATGTAAAGTACAGAAATGTAAAACTGATGAAATGGAAAAATCAGACCCATTTATGAAGAACAAAACCTTCTTTGATAATATGTAGTATGACAAAACGTTTGGAGGAAAAGATGACTTGATACAAGTCAGTTTCTAGTTGGATGGAATGAGGAAAATCCTTTTTCAAGAGGTAAGACATTAAATTATGATTCACTACAGGATGCCTTTCTCTAAATGATGTGATGCTGTGTTGCAGCTGAGACAAAACAGGGAGAGTGTGTGGGCTGACATTCTTCTGCAGTACACCAGGTCTCATGTACCTGTCAGATAGGATGGTGTGCCGGGAACCACTAAATTGCTATTCAGCAGCTCAGAGGGAATCATCTTTTAACTTGGTTTAGTGAAACAAAGCAAGTTTATATATATATTGGTATGGATAAACTGCAGGTTCGGAGTCTCAGTTGTCTGACCAAGAAAATATCTCATCATTGAATTCAGTAAGTCTACAAGCTTTTACAGATCAGTCTGCTGAGCAATGAATGAAACTCAATTGCTCTGTTGGACTGTGTTTATAAACCTTTCATGTTACAGTGCATCTCTTTTGCTTTGAGATTCTCTTTGTCTTAGATTAACTCTGTCATGGTTGTATAGACAAGAGCATCCAATTAAGCAGCAAAATCAATTCCCTACCATTCAGATAACCACTCACAAAATCTGAACAGCATATATTCGTGAAGAAGCTCCTGAGTAGAAACTATTTGCCCCACAGAATCTTGTGACTGGTTTCAAATGATGAGTAAAAGGGCTGAAAAAGATTACAGGAATTCACTTAGTTCAGTCCCCTTTATTTACTCTTACTCAGGTTAAGGCAGGGATGAACAATACCTACCTTTTGTGAAGTAAGAAGCAGGGCGGTTCACAAAGTATTTCTTACTGTGAGAGAAGTTGTAACCAGTATGGTTTGCTTTGAGCAATTCAGTCTACTTCATTGTGTCAAAAATCCGGCTTCTATTGCAGCAGGCATGAGCAGTTCCTGTGTGACACTGGCCGAGGTCCTGTGGGCAAAAGGAAGCCCTTTGGAGGAAGAAGAAATATGGGCACTCTTGTACCTGGCCACAGTGCAGCTTCTGGAGGACCTTCACAAAGGTGAGGTGAAAATTACCTTATAATTCTTACTGTTGGAAATTCATTCTTGAGTTATTTTAAGAGTTTGAGAGTTTGGTGGTTTTGGTTGGGGTTTTTTTGAGACAAAAAGCACTAATGGCAATAATAGCATATTTCTAATAAAAGTGAGAAACCTTCCAGTGCTGTGGGGATTACATGCAAACTGCTCTGCCTACGTAAGAAATCTTCACCCATTTTTTTCAAATTTACACATCAGATATTAATTCATCTAAATACAACTATACACGGTGCAACAGGACAGAAGAGTCCTTATGAAAGTCCAGATTACGCACACAGAGAAAGTGCAGTGCCAGCTAAGATCGTGTCCTTCATGTACTGACAGAGGAGGACAGGCAAATCCACATGACTCCTCATTCAGCTAGTAAGAGACTTTTATCCTTGATGATAATAACGTGACTAATCATAATGGCTAGGCAAATCATCATGATGAATGCTTGCCAAGCAGGCCAGCTGTACAAGACAGCAAAGCTGAGCAACCTGTCACATTTTGGGAACTATTTATGACAATGTGTATTCCTTTTGAGGAGAGAATGGATGACGTGTTCTTACTTCATGAGCATGTAGAATCAAAATACAAAATACTGAAAACAAGTGATGTGTAAATTCTGCTATAGCTGGAGGGGTGAACTTTTATTACCAACCAGTTTTTAATGGACTGGAACACTATAGCAGGTTGACTATAGCATCAGTTCTCTATTATTGGGTATAACTAGAGGACAGAACAGCCCAGACAAGACAGGCACCAGGAATGTGCAAAGGAGTGCAGCACAGAGATACCCACCTGCATAGATTCAGCTCAGGTCCAGCACAGCTTACTAACTCAGTGCCAGACACTAATCTGACACTATGCTCTCCTGATCTCTTGGTTTGGTTTTGTGTTTTTTTGTGTTGTTTTGTTGTTGGGTTTTTTTTAAAAGAATTGTTGGATGTCTATTGAATTGAGATAATCAGCCTATGTTCCCTATGCTGCACCAGATAAATAGGGTATTATGATCAGAAGATGAAGAGTAAAACAAAAGGAAGTGGGGAAGTAGAACCATGCTGGTCTATAGGTCAAGTGCAAGGCTGCTCAAACATGTCTTTAGAGAGCTCAAGTCCAGAAGTGATGCCAAGTTGGACTCATTCTGAAGCTGAATCCCCAGTGCTCCAGCTTCTTGGAGGGCAGTGAAGGTGAACTGGCCCTGCATAGCATAATCCCAGTTGACTAAGGCATATCTCTGGCTCCACATCTCTTAATTACAGGTATATTGCTTCTGAAATCAGCCTCTTCTCAGGGCTAGTACTGACATGTCTGTGCTGCACTGTGCTCGATGTGATAAATCCCCCTAGACCTGGTGATGGTCAGCACCACTTGCTATAGAGATATTTCCAGTGCCTTTGGGCACTGACTGGTTAGACAGGTATGCTGACTTGATGGCTGGCCAACATTACAGAAGGCCAGGTAATCTTCATTGAGACTAAAGTACAAGATGGCTATCTGTTTCTAAAACAGACGAATTTTCCAGCACGTGCTAGTTATATTTGCATACAATACTACAGAAAATGGGGAAGGAGCAAAAGAGAAGTCTAGCTGATGATTTTAAGACCTTTAATTTTCAAAAGAAGTAAATGCCACAACTGTTGCAAATACTAGTGGTCTATGTCTTGAATCTCTGGGTCCTCTGGCTATATAGGCCTCCTAGGTGTATATGAGTTCCCAGCTTAACATTTTACCTATTTTTACCATCCATTTTCCTGATGTCAAGGTCCATGCATAAGAACTAAGTAGCCTTTTTTTTAGTACATAATTTTAAAATGCTAAAATACCAAAGCATTTAGGGCATGTTTCTGAGCTCTTCTCCTATGGAGATCTGAATGGTCTCTGTTCTTATGGTCTAGACTGAAGAGAGTTGTTCAACAGCCAATATTTATTTTTTTTTTAAATTACCTATATTTCCAGGAACCCTATATCTAAATATTGCCCTAGTTAATGCAGCTTTTCCTCTTTCTAAAGTAAACAGATTTATCCTAGAGGCTTTTCATCATGCTTTTTTAATGAATATTTTAATGAAATCACATAGATGTCTTTGGTCAAATTCACTTAACCTACGTGTACAAGTGTGGAGCATTTGCAGAAGACTGCACATCCTCATGCTTCCAGTCCTACTTCAGAGCACTGGGACTGACGTCAGTGGATCTCTGCAGTCATATTTTTTAAGCGTACTCAGCCCTTTATAAGAAGAATCTAGTTCATTACCAAGACACCTTCAAATAGATTTTTTCAGTGAAGAGCAAGGGCAAACTGTTCCCCAAGGGAGAGGGAGCCCAGACCCAAGCATGGTTACAAGGGTGGCAGGGCAGGGGCTGGGCCAGGCAGGGCCCTAACCCACAGTACCCAAATAAGGTGAGCAGGGCAGGTCTGGGGTTGACAACTGAGAATCCAGAACACCACACAAGTTTGTGGTAACAATGCAAGGCCCAAGGTCAAGCTGGGAAGCTGAGTCAGGATCAGGTCTGGTGTGGGCAACCAGGGTCAGACAGTCCAGTGATCACCAGGCAAATCCACAGTGACAAGGCAAGTCTGAGGCCAGGCTGGGAAGTCAGTCTGTGGGTCAGGATCAATGAGATCCACAGTCAGGCAAGGCATGGCTGTTGCTGAGCTGGAGACAGGCACTCCTACACCGTACCTCAGGCAGGGATTCAAGGCCCTGGGCTGAGCTCAACTGGAGCCTGGGACTATGGGCAGAGGATGGGGAAAGGTCCCAAGTGAGGCTGATCAGGGTTATTAAAGCCTATTAGTGTCCTTGGGACCTTGTCAGATCTACATTTATCGTTTGAAAACACCTTTGAAATATCCCCTCTCTTTTAATAGAACTGACACACAGACAGAAAGACTGAATGTGAATAATGCTAAAATATCATGGCTGTTCACATTACTGGTAGAATCTAGTCTGAGGTACGGTTTGGATAGTTTTCATATTTGCATTCTGGTAAAATAATCCCAAAGTTCAGGTTAGTTGGAAATTACGTTTCCACTTAAAGGAAAGCTTACTAGGTTATAGCACTGGGACTTAGGAAATTTCTTTCTACTGCTACCTCAGCTTCTGTTGACTGACACACTGTAGTCTTCAAGGCCGGGCTCTGCATGAGTTTCTTCATCTGTACAATGGAAATAAAAAGATGCTGACTCTTGACACTGAATTTCTGGCAACGTAACTTGGCTCCGCTAGACACAATACACTGAAAGAGAGGTTACTAAAATGCAGAGCTGACTGACTATAAGCAGCACACAGAACAAAAAAATATCACCACAGAGAAGAGGTTTGTACCATGGTCATGTAACTTAATGGAAGCTAACTTAAGGTCTTTTGCAAATGCCAGCTTCAAAGTATTCATGCTTTGTTGGAAGGAGTGTTCTACTCTTCTGATATTCTCTTGTGCTTTGCTTAAAAAGATCTACCAAAAATGTCAAGATCTCCAGAATCTGCACATGGGGTGTAATTCTGACTTTCCTTAGGCTTCAGAAAGCCATTGAAATCAATATATTGTTTATATGTGTGAAATGATGTGAGAGAGAAATCAAGTCTTTAACCATCACTGAATTCCAGCTGAAAAAAATCAGCCAGGCATAAATGAACATGATTCCACTGACTTCTGGGTACATCTCCAGGAACCTTCAGTGATGGGTTTGGCAATGCAGGTAAGATGCCAGCAATATGATTTTCTGAGTGCAGTGAATTCAACACTAAGAACTCCATTATCTTCTACAACATTTTTCAGACCCTGCCATCTGTGTGATTTGTCCATGGTCAGTACTACTGTCTGCTGAAGGAAATCTGTCCCTCCAAAACAATGCATCTCAGACAGAAGCTGTCCCTTTCAGTGCACCAGAATTGCTCCATAGACAAAGTAAAAACCAGCACATCGGAATAACAAAGGTGAGGTATATTACAAAATATATATCTTGACAGTACCTCATGAAGACAAACTTGTGAGTTTTAATGCCACATACCAGGTATCTATTGTCAAACTCCATTTCTAATAACACTAAACAAATTAGGCTACAGTGAGAAAGATTTACATGTATCTTGCAGTTCGCCATTAGATTAGCATGCACGTCAACATCAAAATCTATTTTGAACATCAGTCCTCGAGGTCTGCAGAAATATATTATTTGTAAAGGCCCACAGAAAGGAAGAATATTTCTCTGAACATGATGCTTGGCCAGAAATGGTAATTGTAATCCCAGAAGCAGTGGGACTACAGTATCTATACAATCTGAGAGTGGAAGCACTCCCAGGAAGTCAGAAATATGTTCACCTTTGTTAACAATTTCCTTTTCTTCTTCCTGCCAAATGAGTCCCTCTGGCAAGACAGTGAGATACAACATTCAGGTACCTAAAAGTTTTAAATACCACTAGGACCACATCTGTGCATACTTCCCGCAGGCAGAACACAGTAGTTTCAGACTCCCACATAACTTATCACTTGGATGCTATGCAGAAACAAAAAGCTTTGGAACAGGATGGCCCATAGTCCAGTAATCCTCTTCTGGCCATGACTGCTAGTTGGTCCCACAGCTAGGGGAGAGCTTTAATCACCAATGGGAGAACTTCAAAACTAAGGAGTTCAAATTTCTTTTCCTATTTATGGCATCATCAGACAGAGGGCAGCCTGGCTCAGCCCCTCACACTGAACAATACTCATTGCATGCTACCTAGTCCATAAGCCAAGAGTTGCTATTGTACTTTTATATATGTTTCCTCTAGTCTAGGTTTTTTTAAAAATTATCTGTTTGGCTTCTGCCATTTTGTGCCCAAAGAAACAAAAAGATGGTCTTTCTATAGTACGAGGCTTTTCGCTATTTAAAGTTGACTTCATAAAGGGTTTCCTTTTCTGTTTTGACAGATGTTGGTGTATTCCTTAGGAATGACTCTCTATTGGTCAGCAGACTTCCAGGTTCCTCCAAACCAGGCCAGTAACACAAATATTTTTGTTTTCTTTAATTCTGTCTTGTACTGGTAGGTTCAAAGATTGAGATGCATAATCCAAAATCTCAGTGAGAGGGGCTTTATGTTTTGGACCACTAGACAGAATTGGAAAGCTTGTGTTAAGGTCCAGACTTCACCAAAAATACCAGTTCATCCAAATCAGGAATTTAGTTAGGTCTCACCTTTACTTTCCTTTTTTTCCCCTTTTTCTTCCAAAATTGTTCCAATTAAGATGAATTGTACCTTGTTTTTAAGAGGGAAGATTATTTATTCCAAGGCTGTAATAAGGAACAGGTTGCCCAGTGAAGTCATTGAGTCACTATCCTCGGAGGTATTTAAAAGGCATGTAGGTGTGGCACTTAGGGACATGGTTTAGTGGTGGACTTGGCCGTGTTAGGTTTACGGTTGGACTTGATGATCTTAAAGGTCTTTTGCAACCTAAATTATTCTATGATTCTAAAATAGGGAGGGCTAAAAAAACCATCATGTCAGCATGACTGTGGTTCTGTGCACATTTATGTGCTTTTTCAAAGAATGTGATTTTAGAATAAAACTAAATAACTCTCCTTAGTTCTGAGCAAATTCTACCAGCTTCTTTGCTAGTTAAAAGTTTGCATTTGTTGTTTACCCAGAATCCTTTCAAAGATTTGTAGCACCCATTTTGCTTCATTTCTATATCCATGCCTTTGATTGTATGTTTTTGATTTGGAAAGCACAAGCTTTTAGTAGGTTTAACCTCACTTTCATGGGTATACATGGTCTAAGAGAAAAAGCTCTATAAGCTAAATAACTATAAAATTTAAGTATCTGGTCTCAATGGCAACAGTTTTGGCTGGTGTAACTCCTCACCTTTTGAAGCTAATGCTGCCACATGTCTTACTTGCATGAATCTTTAAGATTCACAGTCTTAGCAAAGCTGTGGAGCAGATTGAGCTGTTGTGTGTCACCAAGAAGCCCCTATACAGGCTGATGACCCTCCTCGTAGATGCCAGTTCCCTCCAAGGCTATCCTGGATCCTATCAGAGGCTCCATTTAGTGCTCTTATGCTGCCTGTCTGGAATTTTCACAAAGTCTAAAGGAATTCAGTGCCCATTTCTCACCCAGGGTGAAAGGCTTATAGAAATTCCTGGTCCCAGTTTACACAGGATTTCAGACCACTGGGAGATGTCATTTAACAGTACCTCCATTTTAACTCAGTCCCTCCAGCTGAGTGACCAACTACACACACTCTTGCTGACACTATGTGAAGATCTGCCACATAAAAGACTTTCTCTTGAATCAATTCTGGAAGCATGTGAGGCACATCAGAAGGAATCTGCTCCCTTACCAGCAAATGTCTACATAAAGAAAATGGTCCAGTTTGCTGTGGGAAGCGTCAGTGAGGTAGGTACTACACTTATACTACTAATAATATTTTCATTATTTAGAGATGTGAGCAGCAACATGGGATACAGGTGAGCAATTGCCTGAAATTAATGCTTGTATGAATTAAGGAAGTGAGATTTGGTTCAAGACCTCTAAGCAGAAAATTGAGTGGGCACATCTACAAGCAAAGGAGGCAATGAAGCCACGTCTCACACCACTCTTATACTCTTGGGAAATAACACAAATCCAGCTTTTGCGCTTACAGTATCTTCATTTCTTTGGTTAATACTGAAGCGATCATAACCTTTGGAGACTTCATATTGGCCAAAGGAGTGGACTTTACACAAGAGAAAAGATTTCCCCATTGCCACTCTGGTTTCAGACTTTTTTGGTAACATTCAAAGACATTACATTTACATCATATTGAGAATTTAATTCATCATCCTTGAATGGAACTGAACATTTGACGTGCAATCAAGCCTGACCCACATGAAGTCTTCAATAAGTGAGTGCCTGAGCTTTTTTCAAGATTTGAAATATCAAACAATTTTTGTTGACAAGCTGAATGAATCTGGAAGAAAACACACTGCAATTATTTTTTTCTCTCTTTTCAACCAGTATTCCTTATCATTCTGAAATGACCTTTTCCCTTGCACTCTCTATTACTCTATTTCCCACTGTGAGAGAGGGTGTCCCTTCTTAAACACAGGTGGCGTGAGAGCATGAAGCTATCAAAACTCAATCCGCTTTGTGTGTGAGCAGATGAAGTTGCTTATACCAAGCAAATCAGCGGCCTCTGACAAGCAGAGGGCAAGGATCACTTCAGCATGAAAGTCTGAAGTCCACATATCATATGACATTGACTGGCAGTACTACTGTCTTCTAGGTGGAGCGGGTACCCTCTGAAGACAGCACAGCCTCTCAGCTTACCAGAAGTCACATGATAAGGAAAAGACTGCATGAGAAAATATCGGACACCTCACCGCTGTCCTCCCAGATGAATTTTCACCAAGGTAAAGAAAGACTTATAATCTGAACTATCTAATAAGGATACAGCCAGCCTTTTCTGAGTCTTTCCCAAGCTAGGTGAATTGTTTAATTTCATGCTGTAGTGATTACAAGTAGTGTTGGATAGGATATTTATTGCTTTACATATAAATGACTTCATAATGGAAAGACTCTGAGGCAAGTCAGCAAGGCTTCTGTTCCTTATTTCCTCAAAGGATAGTAGTCTGAGGGCTGTGAAGCAATGATAACAAATCAGCTTGTACAGATTCAACTCTTAAAACAGTTTGCATAAAACCTGTGCATATAAAAAAATACTTTCAAAACTGCTTTTGTGCTTTGTATACTGAAGCGTCTTTTCAAAGGTAAAGAGTGGGATTCTGTGAAGATATCCTGTTGCCATTAAGAAATATATATTCATCTTTCTTATTTGATTATTCAAGAAAAGATCTGTGGTTTCTTTCTGATTTTAGTTCCATTTTTTATTCAAAAGATGTTTTATAAATTCACACATGGATTGCTGGAGTGATTTCAAGACATAAGGCCAAATCTTGCACACTATATAAATAAACCAGCATATACTAATTTCACATTTCATTTGACTACAATCAAGATTTTATTATCCCTCAGAGTAATTCTGCAGCTGTAACTAAATGTGGACTTCAGGTTCAGATAGTTCTTTTTTCTAGTCTCTATGTTATACTGTTCACTTCAACAGAAATATCTGATTTTGGGGCAAGGCGAAGGTTGGCCTACACTATGCAGGCTTTTTTTGGGATATGCTCAATATTAGACATATGAACAATCCAATTCCTATTCAGAAAATTACATATGTGTTCCATTAACTTCAGCTAGATTTAAACACATACTTAAATACCCGTGGAACATTTCTATTAGGTATTATTTGTCATAAGAAAAGGAGATTCTTTTGAAAACGTACAGACGAACCACCCCTCAAATCATATTGGCATACTTGCTCATTTAGAAATGGCTTAGAGATTCACACTTGCATAAGCTGGTGAAAACTCTGCTGCTGCCAAAACAGATGGTCCCATCTTCAACCCCCTATTACCCACAAATTCCTGCCATTTTCCTTCTACTGGTTCTAGTGATTATGTATCTGGGGTGATCTCTGTGTGACCTAGGGATTTAGGTCACGTGACTTACACTTGCTGGAGGACTTCAGTGAATCAGGATGTGGATTACATTGAGAACACTTGAATCACACTTTTCAGGGCAGCATTCCATTTCTTTCTTTTTTTTTTTTTTTTTTAATTAAAAATGATCACCTTCAGAGATTCTGGAAAAGGACAAGGCACAATGCAACCAAAGTAAAGTTAGGGTGCAACAGAAGTACGTGCTTCCTAATGACTTAGGATGACCCCTTAATGGAATTTCTGCAGCCAACTCTGGTAGTGCATTGTGTCTGGGCACTGTCCATCCTGCACACAGAAAGAATACTTCATAGCTGAAGGGTTTGGGCCTCAGAATATAAGGAAGGAGAACTTTGGAGGTTACCTGTACTTTGCAACCTTTCAGTTAAACATGTAGAATAGAATTAATATATTAGATTTGTTTTATTTGAAATGGTTGAGGAGAACTGAGAACTATTTTGGGTCAGAAAAAGATTATGAAAGTTACAGAATGAAGTTACCAAGCTTTCCTTGGTCCTTAAGGATGTGAAGTCAGGGTTAGAAGACAGACGTGGACTATACAAAAATTAGTCAAGCCAAATGTTATCTACGTTATCATGCAGATAAAATGATTTATAATAAAAGTATATAATTCACCATATTTCTTTTCTGTTTCCAGACAAAGGGTCCAGATTAATGAATTATAGTCGGTCAACAGAAGATTACAGACAACTCTCTGTGGACTACAGCGACTCTAATAGTATTTCTGAAAGTACATCTTTGATACTGTCTAACCGAGGACAGAGGAGAGGTAAGATTTTCCTGAAAGATGATGTTTATGAATTAAGTTCTTAATTCTTTCGTCCCCTGAAATGTGAGACTACCCATGTATGGTCAGGTGATCAGTACTCCAATGCACTTGTGGTTATGTGACTAGGGAGGTATATTTGTGCTAAGCTTCAGAGGAGAAAGATCCTTTTATATTGCATTATTTTCTACTTGTGTCCTACTGTAAAACTATATATTCCCTGGTTATGATGCAGCACCACCACCTCTTTCTTGCTTTATGCCCCCTTTGACAGGTGAAGCTGTTCAGCAGATCACAGACAAAGCCTGACCAGCATGTTTCTAGCCCATGGGGTCTTGAAACAGATGAGAAATGGTGGAACTACCCCACAAATGCATATGATGCACAATGTCAAGATGGCAGCACTGAAATCAGTCGAATCTATGAATAATCACAGAATCACAGAATGGCAAGGGTTGGAAGGGGCCTCTGGAGACCGTTTAGTCCAACCACCCTGCCAAAGCAGGTTCAACTAAAGCAGGTTGGACAGGAACGTGTCCGGGCGGGTTTTGAATATCTCCAGAGGAGACTCCACAACCTCTCTGGGCAGCCTGTTCCAGTGCTCTGCCACCCTGAAAGGAAAGAAGTTTTTCCTTATGTTCAGGTGGAACTTCCTGTGTTCTGGCTGTGCCCATTGCCCCTTGTCCTGTCATTGGGCACTACTGAAAAGAGTCTGGCCCCATCCTCTTGACACCCACCCTTTAGATATTGATAAGCATTGATGAGATCCCCTCTCAGTCTTCTCTTCTCCAGGCTAAACAGACCCAGGTCCCTCAGCCTTTCCTCATAGGAGAGGTGCTCCATTCCCTTGATCATCTTCGTAGCCCTCCGTTGGACTCTCTCCAGTAGTTCTTTGTCTTGAACTGGGGAGCCCAGAACTGGACACAGTACTCCAGATGTGGCCTCACCAGGGCAGAGTGGAGAGGGAGGATAATGTCCCTTGACCTGCTGGCCACGCTCTTTTTAATGCACCCCAGGATGCCATTGGCCTTCTTTGCCACAAGGACACATTGCTGGCTCATGGTCACCTTGTCCACCAGAACTCCCAGGTCCTTCTGTGCAGAAATGGGCAGGAGTAGGATAATACCTAAGACTTGAATGGTGGGGATTAATGTTTCTTAAAGCCCATTCAAAAAGAAAGGGACTAATTCTGAAATCTAGAGGGAAAAAACCAACTAAACAACCCTTTGTTTTCTTTTCATTTTTATTCTAAAGCCATTGTGTATTTCCTGCTCAGCATGTTGTTTTCATTGTGCTAAATGCCAGGTTGCAATGCTGCTCTTCTGATTTACTTTGTCTGGAGTTGTTATAGTTGGAATTTTAGCTCCACTTTCAATCCTTTTACGGCAGGAACAGCGTGAAAGAAACTGGGAGGTGATCCATTCAGTGGAGTCACTGTGGTAGACGTCAGTCAGGGTCCTTCCCAAAAAACTTACATTACAGGTTAGGGGGTTACTATGAAGCAAAGGGAATTCAGGAAGGGGAGTACTGCTGTGCACATGTATCGTCATGCTTAAATTGGAATCTGAGTTAGGGACACCTAGACAGGGTGTTCACACTGCCCAAGAGCAAAAGGTTCCTCTTGCCAAATGTCATCAGCGTCTCCTAAAAAAACCAAACTTACCATGCCAGCTCCAGGTCCCCATTCTCAGTCTCCTGCCCATTTCTATTCTCCATTCCACAGTCCTGTAATCATGTGTGGTTTTCATATCCCAGAAATTTCTTCCCTAAGGCAGTAACACTAGTATCCACTATATCAGTTACATTGCAACAAGGTATGCACACCAACTGCTTAGTTCATTGATGCCATAAATAACAGAAAATTGCTGAGTAGTCCTTGCTTTTTTCTCACTAGGGAGCATTAATTTGGGTTTATGATATCCAGCTGCTGATTATCCTGAAATTCATAGGAACATATTACTCACACGCTTCCAAATTTGAAAGGTTTAAAATTTACTAGGCAAAAATAAAAGGCATAGAACATGATCTCAAGGGACTAATTTCCCTAGAAAGATGGCAAAAAACCTGGGTGCCCACTGCATTATCACAAGTCTGCCAGGAGATAATTCACAGAGAGAAAGCAAATACATGAATACATCCTGGGGAAAAAAAGCACCATGTAATAGCCTCTCAGCCCCAAGTCCTTAGCCCCAAGGATGGGGAAGGTGGGGTTACTTATACAACTGCCATTAATAGTCTCCTCCTGAAAGGCACTTTTCTGAAGCTCCAGAATTGCAATCAATAGCAGCAGCAATAAAAACCCGAGATTGCAGCTGCTCCCTATGTGATGCGTACGTGTCAGTCATATACCTAGTGGCACATAGTGAAGGTAAATTCAGAAGCCTGTTTTGTAAGCTGTTTATTACAAAATTTTGGTAATAAACTTGACAAAGGCTCTTTGCAGTGAATTTGTGTGTGTCTCAGTCTCCACTGAAACACTGGGAGCTGTTTGTACTCAGGATTTTGTAAGATAAAACTCTAAAATTACAGGAGAAAACACAGAATGTGAGAGCTTGTTTGCTGCAGACATTCTTGCATGAGATAATGTGTTAGAAAAATGCATTCTTATCTGAAAAGAAATATAACCATCTAGTAGAGCACCATTATCAAGGGAGATCAATATCTCCATCCAGACTGTACTTTAGAAGCTCATTTAACATGTAATAAATTAATCATCTACAGGATCATCATCTTTGAGAGCCTCACGTTACTTAAACATGAGGAACGTGTTGGATTTGTCATCAAAGCACAGCATTCTGGACACTAAAACTGGCCAACTTGTCCCACTGCCATAACAGCTGAGACAGAAAAACTAAGGGGAATTTTATGTGCTTGTCAAAGTATATTTTTACAATTATGTGAAACCTATAGTGTAAGCACAGAATTTTGCAAGGCTTTCTCATTAAAAAGCATGTAGTTTCAGAATACAGGACTGAATCTTAGCTTTGGTAACTAGCCCTGAGTATTTGGCTTATCTCAAATCTCACATTTTGTCACTACCATTTGCAGCTTGGAAAAACATGTTTATGCATATGTTAGCAAAGTGACTGTAGATTTTCTAGTTTTTAAAATTGCAATTGGTGCTTGGTACATGAGAATTAAATGTCATGTTTTCATGTTGGAATTCAGACAGGTCTTAGGGTGTAGTTCATGGATATTTTATCTGGAGAAAAGCTGACTTAAATGATTACTTCCACACCTTATCACCACACTTCTTATCACCTCTATCATTCTGCCTATGTAATATTTTGAGATGCAATTCTTCAAATAAGATCAATGAAACGATCCAAGTGAAGAAAAATTCAACCTTCCCACCTTTCCCTTAAAGATTTAAAACATATCTGCTGCTAGAAGAAACATTCATGAAACTACCACTTGCATAACCCTTTATGCAATTCTTCCTGTTGCATTAAGGGGCAAAGCAGTTTTGGCAGAAAATAAACCCCCTTGCTTTTTAACACTCCTCACCGAGGTGGGAGGCTAGGTGCAGCTAGATTTAAATTCTGAGTGATGCCCAATTCACCACTATCAGTCCAGGTGCGTTTGATATATTAAACGGTTATGGTTCTGGATACACTAATAGCAGACCCCACCTTCAGCCCAGTTGGCCTCACTTCAGTCACGTTCAATGAGAAAACCCAAATGACCAGCTGCCTACACAGTACAGTTTATTTAAACAACAGATACCCAAGTTCTTTTGGGTTGCTGGTGATAGTGACTGTCTGCACAGCACGTGCGAATACTAAAGAATCTAAATTTCAACCTTCGATGTATTTAGACAAAGCCATGCCTATCCTTTCTGTAACAGCAGAGATGACTGAAGGTAAAAAATTCTACAAATCTTATTTGCTAATGATTCACAAACCATCCTATATTCCCACCAGATTCTTACGATGTACATGTATTTCCAATATATTTAATGTAGCAAATAACCAGTGGAATACTTACAAACAGTTTTCATTTCAGTGATTTTATATCCTACTCTGATTAAGCCAGAGAAGTTTCATGCCTCTCCCCGATTTTATGCCTGGAAATAGAAAAACAAAGAACACTAGAGGTAATTTCTGAAGACAAAAAGCTGTTTCACAAAGTACCCCATACGTATGGAAATAACAGCGATTCTACCTACACAGTTCTTTTCCAAGTTACATTCACATGAAGCGTTATGAAGAGGAAGTACCAATAACTGGGAGAACTGGGAATACTGCTGGTGTAGTATTCACTTAGCCTTATCAAATAGCCATTTATCATGCCCAAGCAAGGACATCAGAGAGGAAGCAGCCAGTCTAAATTTCCTCCTTGTTGTAATTGCACCAAGATCTGATGCTGAGTGCTGCTACAATTGCTTCAATTGTGAAATTTCCTTTATTAATTTTAGGGAGAGTTCCACAGACACACCGGTCATGGGACCCCACCCTTAGCGGGTCAAGGACACAAAGCAGCTACAAGCTCTTCATAAACAGGTAATCAAAATTCACATTCCTAAAAGATAGAAGCTGTTTTATTACCATGTGAAGCAGACAACTAGTGTGGTAATGTCATTTTCAGAAAAAGCCTGGATCACCATCTGAACCTGTTTTGATAATAGATACTGTTTATGTAGAATTAAAAGGTACTTAGACTTGATTTGGCTCCAAGTGAAACAGTCCAAATGCTGTAGTGAAATGGAGCTTGGGCCCTGAACAACTTATACAAAACAAGCACATTGAAGTTTTCCACCTTTACTGTTTACCACTGTGTCCTGCCAGATGTCACTGGCCTCCCTCTCCATCAGAATCAGACAGGTAAGTAGCAATAGCTTGCTGTGACTGAAACAACTGGGTTGGGAGAGTGTGGAAGGGAAAAAATTGTTGAGAAGGTATGAACAGTCATTGCTTTCAGTGGCAAGGCATTCTGCAGAGTCTGTATTTCTCTCCATTCATTTTTGGTTCCTGTCTTGCCTTGCTGTCACACTGGCAGAGGCCTGATGTGTTCTGGAGTGGTTATGACAGATGATGTATATGATCCATCATTTTCAGTGGATTATTTGCATTTTCATCTCAGTTCTTGGATTGACTTCTCATTTGTGTCAGCCATATCCAGCCCTGCACAGCCACTCTACTGAAGAGTTATAGGTAACCCAGGGACACAAGCAGTAAAGATCTCTGCTCTGTCATGAGGATTAACCTCATTTCAGCCACGGCAGGTACAGCAGCCCTGTAGACATAGACAAGGAAAGCCGAGAATTGTACAACTGATACTAACTCCTTTTCAAAAGCCAGGGAAATGCCATTGCTGCCAAACAAGAGTTTTCTAGACTGGGTGTTAGCATAGTGCAGCTGTAATCGTGGCTGTTTCCAAATGAAGAAGAAATGTAAGTACTGTTAGCCTCCAGGCACCACAAAGACCAGAATCCCATAGTTAAGCACCATGTAATCCCTACAGACATCCCATTTAAATTAAGTTCTTGACCCAGTTAAACAGGAGTTTCTTCTTTTAACCATGACATGAGTTATTCAGGCCCACAGGAAATGCTCCATTTAGATTAACTCCCAATTAAATGTATCCCAAGTAAACAGTTTGAACTTCCTGATAAATCAGCCATGATAATCTGAGCGATGTGAGACACCCCAGTACACCTCTAAACCTGCAATAAGGAAGAACTACAATCAGGCTGTAGGACAGTGGCAACTTTTGTAAAGAAAGAAGTCTCTGTTTACCTGTCTAACTAGACACATATACATATATGTGTGTACAGATATTATATATGTATCACACACCTAGCAATGATATCAGTAACAGAAGATTTATTTACTGAGCATTTTGGAGCAATTGCCATGCCTCTGACAGCCAACCTGGGTATCATCTTGATATCCTTGATTTAAAAGCATGCTGCCAAGAAAACGTTCCCCTCCTCTGCTGAAAGATGAACTCTCTTCTCCAAATTTCCAGCAAGCTGTTTCGCATAGAACTTTAGGGACTGTAAACCCCACTGTTGGTTGTAAGCATCTGCTGAGGTCACCATCCTATTGTAAGTACCATGATAACAGCGGCGTTGAAATAATTAGTTTGGAAACAACCAATTTCCCATGTAGGAGGACAACCAACACAAAACTTAGTGATGGGTTTACTATCTATAAAGCTTACTAATATCATCATGCTCACTTCTGTAAGCAATCCAATTGACATAACTTACATCTCATAAACTTAAGCTTGTAAATATATGCAGGGCTATGGCCTATATATAAAGAAGACACAGCTTCAAGTCTAGCATCTCTCACCTCACAGGACTAATAAGAGGAAGTGTTTTCCACAGGAAAAGCAAGTCTTCTCAATACAGCATCTTGGGTTTTGAGCTAATAGTATTTTTATACCCACAAAAGTCACTTCAAGACCTATTTAGGCATATTTCTTAGTTAAATGTTAATCTTTATAAGGTTGCGTTGATAGAAACAAAATTTAGATAGAGGAATGCAAACTGGAATGGAATGGAATGGAACGGAATGGAATGGAACAGTTGGAAGGGACCTGCAACAATCATCTAGTCCAACTGCCTGACTCTGTCAGGGCTGACCAAATTAAAGCATGTTGTTAAGGGCATTGTCCAAATGCCTCTTAAACACTGAGAGGCTTGGGGCATCGACCACCACCTCTCTAGGAATCCTGTTCTAGTGTTTGACCACCCTCTCAGTAAAGAAATGCTTCCTAACATCAAGTCTGAACCTCTCCTGATGTAGCTTTGGACCATTCCCATGTGTTCTGTCACTGGATACCAGGGAGAAGAGATCAGCAGCTACTCCAGTAACTTTGTTAAAAACGTTTTGAAACGCTCTGAATAGTTCCCTGAAGCCACTCTACAACATGCAAAAGAAAAGGATAAAGCATTGGGATAACAAAAAAGTTCCGTGTGACTTTGTCATTTATTAAAAATATAGTTAGCAAAAATCCACCTCAACAAAACCTTTCCTTCTATACCATATAATCATTCTTTCCTCATTGATAAGGCTATATATTATATTTTAAGTTTATTCTAAGCATACATATGTCTGCTCTTGTGGAAAACACTATTACTTTACGGGTTAAAAGTATAGTATAAAGACGGCTTTCTTATCTTTCACACATCTTTCTCTTAATTAAATTGAAAATTCCCTCAGTTCCATAAGACATTAATTTATTCTAATAAATTTGTATTCAATTAAATTAGTTCCCATTTCTGGAAAATTCTGAGCGATGTAATGACAAATGTTATGGTTTTCTGAAGCTTTTTTACTTCAGAAAAGAAGAAATGAGGAATTGACTTCATCCTGTAGAATTCCCGGAAAGGCATGGGGCTAAATTCTTTGCCCGTTGGCTTCACCAGACTTAAACCAGTTAGATCTGTCTCACCAAATGAAAAAATAAAGGAAAAGACTGCTATTGAATTAAAGCATAGTTTAGATTTATTTGTAAAGGGCATCAGTAGTATTATCCCTGTTTAATTATTTTTCTTTTTCTGTAAAGAAACATTTAACAACTTATAACTGACATTGCCCTGGATTTCATAATGTTCTGCCAGTCAATCTACCTTAAGCTTCTTGTCCTCAAGTCTGCGTTGTTTTGTTTGTACACTATATATATTGCTCACTATGACATTTCCTTTGAAGGTCGGTCAGTGCTGTAGAAGAAATCCCTGGTGGAACTCAGAAGAACAGCAGACAGAACCTGCTAAGTTTAGGTTCCACCTTCTCTGTGTCTACAAAGGACTACACAGCAGCTGCTGCATCACAAAAATGTTTGTTCCACAGGAAGGAAAAGGTGACTAATGAAAACATATAAGCTGATTTCAAAATGTAAATATCACTAAAGAGAAACCTCTGATCCAGTTGTTGTTCACCAGTGATGTGCATATTAGCTACTGAGTCATTTCATTAGATGAGTATTCTAAATCGACAGACTCCAAATTAGGCACGATGTAATTGTGATAACCCAGAACTGAGGGCAGTGAAAGCTCTTGTCCATAAAGTCTAAGCAAAAGCTTATAATTGAACCCTCTCTGATCTACATGTGTGATTTTTGCAAGCATCAAACACCATATGGACTGTTTTCATCAACCGCTTTGACAGGAGCTTCAGACAGCAAAAACATTTACAGAGAGACTGAACCCAAACACTTGCTGGTCAACAGTGCTCAAAGGACTTGAATTTTATTTACATGTATGCCTGGACAGAAAGCATAGGCTGGCAGTGAGTGTGCCAAACCAACCATTCACCTAAGGGTCTCTTTCTAGTTGCCGATTTGTTGTAGGACTCTGTTAAATGGAAAGGATAACGTTTCTTTGGCAGTCGGATGACAAAAATCCAGAAATAACAGAATCACAGAAAACTCCACAATGCTGCTGCCCATGGCGCTTTCTGTTGTGGAAGTAGAAGGGACAGGTTTCAGGCTGGTGAATCCTCATACCTGTTCCCAGTTCACAAGCTCAAGACTGACCATTGGCAGAACTTTGATCAAGAGTTTCAGTTAGGTCCTTTGGAAAATTATCTTTTTATACATAAATCTATTTTTAAATTTTGTTAATATGATTTTTGCTGGGGTACTAATTAGGTTCCTCAGGAGTCCAGCAACTGCCACAACAAAGTGCTAGTCCCTCTTTATATGTGGTACAAAACTGCATTGTCTGTTGGCAGGACAATACTAGTATCATGAAACAATCCTAAATTTTCTCAAAAAACCCCATCTAAATGGCTAAAAGTACTAAGTCATGGATAACGGTTGGTTAAGCATGAGCTTACCCCTAATTAGACCCCAGAGAATCCACACAGGAGAGACCCTAAACAGAGAGAAGTCTTCAATCAGCATTTGCACCTTATTAGACGCTGAAGTCAATTAGCTACAGCGTACAGATCCACAGAAATGGGTTTCATTGGTACTGGTGTTTAGGATCTTCATTACATTAAGGAGATACTTATTACATTTCTAAATTGTGTCCTTACAGTTTTCAGGTCCAGAATTTATTATTTTGTCTAGTGAACCACCAGTGACCTTACAGCTTCCTGGATCAATTGTGGTAAGTATGAACATTAAGAATTTAGAACTAATCTAGTGACCCTTTAGTTGGGGCTCTTGGTAGGTTGCATCTGAGTCCCAACCCAGTATTCTTGCCATGTCGTCCTCCCAAACCAAGTTAGGGTTTCTACAGAGGTATTGAGACTTGAAAAGAGATAGTTTAATTCTCAGTGCTATGTAGTTATTTCTGTTGGTGTGAAAATAGCTTAGTTTATCCTTCTCGGCTAAGAATGCTCACTTTAGCACAAGACTTTTGAGATGAAGATTATGCATCAAATATGCAATGTGACATCTAGTGCCAATGTATTGGACTCCTCCAGTTTGCAGGCAAATCCTCTATGTTTCATTAAGATAAGGTAAAAGGCTGACAGCATACAGCAGTAAAAATGAGGGCAAAGAAAATTTTGAATTACCCTCAAATCTAGAATACCCCTGCTGATTTTAGACTCTGAGTATGCTCAGCTGTTTTGTTGGGATTCCCTGGGTTTTATAAAATTCGAAATGTTTGGGATATTAATTTGAGAAAGAAGGGAATAGCATAGTGTTGTGACCAAATCCATCAGTTTATGCTGAGACAGAAGACTAAGGGGCCTCAGTAGTAAAATGCTGTGGAACTTGCATTGCTTGTACTTGGCACTCATTCGTCATTTTTTGTTACATGTTCTTAGACTAAAAAAGGGAAATCCTATTTGTCCCAAAGGGATCTGAATGTGATTCTACTCAATGGGCAGTGCCTTGAGGTGCAATGTGACATCAAGTCCAAGGCAAGAGATGTTTTCAACACTGTGGTGGCATATGCAAACTTGGTGGAACATTTCTACTTTGGCTTGGCTTACCTGAAAGGTAATGAGACACAGCTAACTACAGTAACAGTCTCCCCCAATGCCTCTGTAGTCACTTTATAACAAATTCCAGTAATATCCTTTAAGATCCTCAGAAGAAAGCAGATTCAAAGCTTAAGCAAAAGTAAGGTAAGTTGGTTTAAACTGTACTGCACTGATGTAAAGCATGTGCATCAGCACAGCCATACTGTTACTGGCTGGTATTCCCATCCAGAAAAGGCTGTGTCCCAGCCTTGCACTGGAATAATACTGAGCCATAGAGCTCCAGCAGAAATTCCAGGAAGAACTGTACTGAGGAAGGCTGAACGTCTTTGTTCCTAGATATAAGTTGGAGTACAGGCTCAGCTATTTAATCTACAAGACCCACATCTTCCTTGCCCATTTCTGATGGCAAGCAGGGCTGAGGGACTGGGAAGAAGCACACCTCGTGTGTAGGGTACCAGGATTACAATGGGGTGCAGAACCTGAATGGTGAGCAGAATGCAAGCCCCATCAATTCTTGAGTGATTCCATAGATAGCACACCAATCCAGCATCTAACAATTGTACTCCTAAATTACACAGTTATCCTAAGTTCTCTATCAAAGGAGTAATACATTAAGCCGTGACACAGAGAAGTAAATCTCAACTGACATCCATGATCCATTTTATTTTTTATTGCTAGTGATGCACTGAATGAAGACAGCAGAACTTTGAGCTACTGAAGTATCTCCAGACTTATCACAGAAGCCAAAATTCTCATTTCAGGTAAAGAGTTCTTCTTTTTGGATGAGGAGACCAAACTCTACAAAGTGGCCCCAGATGGCTGGAATGACCAACCCAAGAAGAAAACCTCCAACATTTATTTCACACTCTTTCTAAGGATAAAATTCTTTGTCAACCACTTCAATGCTATCCAGTAAGTGCATGGTTCTGCTCACTGCAGGAAAAATAGTAGCATTTAGGGTGATTGTTCAAGGCTCCTCCTGTGTTCCTAAATCATTTTGTGTTCCAGGCACGGCTTGACAAGGCATCAGTTTTACCTGCAGCTTCGTAAAGATATTTTGGAGGAGCGATTATATTGCAATGATGAGACTGCCCTGAAACTCGGCGCTTTGGCTTTACAGGCAGAGCTTGGCAATTATGCTTCTGAGGTGTGGATAAATAATACAATATTTCTCAGAGGTCTCTCTCAACAGCTTTTGCAGCTTTTGTTTGTCACGTAGAGTTGAAAGAAGAAATGTGAATAGCCCATAATTTCAGCTAAGTCCTTCAGTAATCACAGTTCAGATTTAATTTAAAAAATTACAAAATTTGCCTGATTAAGGAGCAGTGATGAGCCAGGCTAATTTGGCAGGAAATACAGCAGAATGATGAAAGACTCTTGGTCCTTCATAATTGATAACATAGCCCAGAAACTCCAGAAAATCTGTAGAAAATTTCCAACATAGGCACAGCTTGTTTGTACAGAGGGGCTTAAAGAGATTAGAAAACATGGAAGAGAAAAATAAATAAACACTGCAGAATTCACAGCTGTTTTGTGTGCAGGCTCAGATCCACAAGCTGCAAAGACAGGAAGGTCATTGATGGCATATCTGAACTAGTTATCCTAGTTTTGAAGTGTACAAAAAATATCCATTTATGTTCTCTGTCATATCTTCAGTTACATAAGTCAGTGTAGCTCTATTAATTGAACTCTGAGTGGTCTGACCCATCTGGTTAGATCCATCCCAGCACTGGGTCCCCCATTGTAGGTTGTACTGATGCAGCTGTAGCTGTCAGGTCGAAGTGTAAGACTGCAGACGTGCCTGTAGGCCCACCTCTTTTCTGCTCTCTCAACAGAGGAGGAGTGTGTGCTTTGAGCACCCGGCTGAGCACAGGTGCCAGAGGCACAGTTGGCAGTCAGGACACTGCCTGCTCTTCCCTATCTTCATTTAGGAAATAGCAACAGGGTGGGCTTCAGCATACGGGTCACCCTGAACATGGAAATGCACCAAATAAGAAAAGTCAAGAAAGAATAAAAGGCTCCTCTCTCTTTTGTTTGTTTCTTTTTTCTTTTTTTTTTCTTCCCCTACAGATGCATGGAAAGAGCTATTTTCGTGTTGAAGACTACGTTCCAGCAAGCCGAATAGAGAAAATGACCCTGGTGTATGTACAGCGAGAACTTGCTAAATTACATCGTATGAATCATTCCCTATTTGAGGATGAGGCTGAACTAGAATTTTTAAAGGTAACTTGCCGTAGCTCAAATATTGTTTATTTATTTTGAGAGAGAAAGCCCCTCTCTATTTACCATTGTCTATGATTTCCTTCTTGCCTGATACAGTAGATTTTAGATAACGTGAACAAATTTGAATAGTCAACAAAAACCTCATAATTTCATTCTGCTGCAGATACTGTCACTCTAAATAACTTACATCACATTTACACGGTGCATTTCCTTTCATTGATAGTTAATGCACATTTCAGGGCATTTTCAATATCCTAAAGGTTGATGCAAATTTTCAGCATGTTACCAACATGTCCAGGTTCCAGATGATTATAAATACGCCTACTGAATTTATTAGAGATGATTATAAAACATGGGAATAAGCACTTTCTGGACTTCTGAAACTACAACAGCTGTTTAGCCACTTTCTAAACATGTAGTGATTATTTGTTTAAAAATACCTGTGAACCCTGAAGTGAAGAAGGAGTTATTATTTGTTTTCTCACATGACTATTTCTCTAGGGCTCTCAAGTGTCATGATGATGTAGGTTTTAAATTTTTCCCCCTTAATTTCTCCTTCTCCCCCAAATTTCTCTGCTTTCCATCAAATGAAAAATATCAGGGATTAGATAATGAATAAATATCAGTAGTGATTTTGCTGCAGTGCTACATGCTTTCATTTATAGCATCATTTTAGTTCAGTTGCTGTTTAATTATGTCAGTTCCTCATCTAACACTGTCAGTGGAATTGAAGAAATAGATTGAAGCTTAGCTTTAACGACAGTCCCATCATATGTGCCAAATCCAATGAAGAAAAGCAGCTTTGTTAGTATCTGTTTCAATGAATAAATCTGTAGAAGGAGCCAACACATCATATAAAGAGAGAAAGATAGCCCCCATGGCAAGAAACACGCAAATTCCAAATATGAAAGGGATTAAAAATTAAAACCCAGATTCAGCTAGTGATTATAGATGTCCCAGTTTTCAGGACTTGAACATTTGCGCTCTGGATACTTTTTGAAAAACAGATCTTCTTAAAGTGTTTTATTTTTGTCACTGGAAATCTCTATTAAAAGTTAAAAAAAGTCATTTGGGGATTCTACATTAGCTTCCCAGAAAAAAAAAAAAAAAAAGAAAAACTTTTAGAATAAACTCATATTGATCTGCAGATCACAAAAGAGGGTGGAAAACCCTCCTCATATTTTATAGTCCTGTAGGGGGTCTGAGTCACATTTTAACATTTTGTGGCCAAGTGCAGGAGGTAGAAAGACAAGCAACAACACCCAGAACCTCTGGGTGAGTTCCTCAGAGTTTCCTCTACACAGTTAAATGACAAGGGCAGAAGATAACTCCTCAGTGCCTTGAGGTATAATCCTACTTAACTTTTCACCCAGCAACGAGCACTGTGCAAGAAAGAAGCGACACTGAAGATCTGTTACTATAAATTATGGCACTGAAGGGACTTCTGGGGCAGTGAAATTCCCTCAAAACTCACCACTATGTTTAGGTGAGGTACTTCGTGGTACTATTTAGCAAACTATAACTTAAGGTTCTTGGCAATGGAAATTTATAATGTCTGATTTTAAAAGGTGATAGCCATGAAGGAACGAGTGTATGTACCTGAGTGAGTTTATTGCAGGCTGGGAGCTGTGGTGTCACTGCAGTTAAGAGTTCCAGTTGGTCATCGCTATTGTAAAAAGGAAACCACAGAAGCCCATGACAATGTCAGAGTAGCCCTGGCACCAAAGTATTAGCAGTTTTACTAAGATCATCATGTTTGCTGTACCTCGTGGTTTCTGGGTTTGCTCAGGGAAACAAAGACACAGAAAAGAAAACGGAAAGAAACAAGGTCTAACAGTAGTCAAGCAGCATTAACCCTGCATGAATTTCTATTCAGAAATGCACACGAGTGCCAAGTAGCTGTAATGCTGAGTACATCAGTGCCATGTAATGTTTAGATTATTGTGCAGGAGCCTACATAATCCTCCTACCTCTTGAAATGAGGTGTGTGGTAAAGTGTTACTTCAGTTGTACACATGGAAAATGAATGCATGCAATGGCTCTGTGACATACCAAAGTAAGGTGATGATTCTTTGAGGCAGTAAGTATGAAAATTTAGTAAGGGTTTTCAAAGGTTTCTTGACAGAGTGAAAGAATATTCAGTAAAGACACTCAAAACCATTTCTTCTCCCATGCACCCACCTTTTCTTCCCATGCCTCTTTTTGAATAATGCACAGTAAATGCACTTTCTCTCTACAAGGTGACTCAGCAACTTCCTGAATATGGAGTGTTATTCTATCGTGTGTCCCAAGAAAAAAAAGGAGCAGGAGGGGACATCATCCTGGGAATCTGTGCCAAAGGCATCATTGTGTATGAGGTGAAAAATCACACAAGAATTGCCAGTTTAAGATTCCAGTGGCGTGAAACAGAGAGAATTTCAGCTCATGTGAGTTGTAACCAAGTGAATCTCTTCTCTGCTCTACTACTTCACTCCCTTTCTGCCTGTCACTTTGATACATTTATTGCATTCAGAGCCAGAATTAGACTCATTCTGTAAAGGCAAGTCCTTGTTGAAAACCGTCTAAAATCAAGGATGGATCTGGATGTGGATACCAAGATATCCAGTTCTTAGTGAGGTTTAGTTCTGGAGTTTTTTGCCAATGCTAGAGTCAAATTACTGTGAAACCGCGTAAGCTGGTGTTGACTACTACAGAGACTATGTCAAACCTCTTTATGGCATATTTCGTATTCATTACTGTCTCGTCTTTACTTCTCTCTCTCCTTTCTTTTGTTTTCCTACCTACATCAGGTCATGGGATCATGTCTCCCTCTTCACAGATCTCATTATTCCCATCCTTATCTCATAGTATCTTTATGTCTGTTAACAAACTGTTATTGCTGACAAGAGTGTGACCCCTTCTAAATGGTATTCTACCATCAGAGATATATCAATCTGCCATCATACAGAGTAGGTGTCAACCTGCATCACACATTTCCCTGCCTGTTTGCTCTCCCAACAGGGCCCTTCTGCCCCTTGAAGATATTTTAATTTTCACATTAAATTGGTTTAATCATTTTAATATCTGTAGGGCCAAATTTTGCCAGATCTATCAACCTGCTTTCAATGCAGTCGATGTCCGAAGCCTCTTAAATTTCATCATAGGGCAGTTATGATCCCAGTGACAGACACCTCACTAACAACTGTTGAATTTATTATAGACATTTACTGAACCCAAAAGGCATGCAGCCAGGCATAAATACAACTGGTCAAACCAACAAGATTATACAAATGAGCTTTCAGTGCCTCAGTGTAATGACTGATATATGAAGCAAGCTGTGCTTTTTTTTTTTTTTCCCTTTAGAGAAAAAAATTCATGATTGAAAGCAGCTTCAGTGGCAAGAAACACACCTTCATTACTGATACAGCAAAGACATGTAAATATCTACTGGATCTCTGCTCTGCCCAGCACAAATTTAATGCACAAATGAATTCTAGACAACTTCGGCAAACTTCATCAGGTGAGGTATAAATGCACTTTTGGTATTCAGGCCATAGGACAAGGTTAGGTTTTAGGAAAGGTGCATTCAGTGAAGCTGAGAATCAGCCACATCAGTTTCACTGTGCTTCAGTTTCTCATTTGCAGACTGGAAAATAATGTTAAAGGTGTGCAAGTCTAATTTAGCGTGTGCATGTGAGTGGGCATGTGCAGGGGGTGGAGAGGGGTTCTCTGATGATAATAACTACGTAGCTAAACTCGGATTTTTTAAGAAAGCATGATTACACTTCCCTTCAGGAAACCTGCTGAGAATTATGAAGAAACGTATCAGACTTACCCCAAAAGTAACCTGAGAAATGTTCCACACAAAGAGTAACTCCAGTAGCGCCTAGATATGCTGGAGCTGAATTCAGTTATCTCATCGTCGTTGCATAAGACAGGTGTTCAACCCTTTGGTTCAGTCCCAGGACAAAACCACTAAACCAAAGGCACATCAGTCATACCCACTCAACTATGTAGCTGCTCACTACTCTTATCTTAGATTTTGCAATGTCGGTGGAAGATAGGACTAATACCTCCTTAGACTTCAGATATGCCATAGTTTCTAAGACAAGGTTCTGCTCAAGCCATGGCTGTTACACAGCACTTCTCACCCACAGTTTCCAGCATGTTCTGTAAAGGTGGGTGAGGATCATTATGGGGAAACTGAGACACATAATAAGAAATAACAGCCTAAGCTGAAAACTACCATCACTCTTGACTTCAGTGGAGCAACATGAGTTTTCACTAGCTGAGGACTCATCCATTGCCTTGATCAGATTAATGATAATTTACAACCACTGAGTATTTGACCCAGTGAGTCATAGCAGGAGAATCGAGTGTCATGCCTCATCTGCTGGGATACTCCTTTCTCTAGTAAAACTGTGAAAGTGTTGGCAACAAATTATATCATGGGATATAACAGGACGATTGATATATTGCTTCTTTTCCACTAAAATTACTTCGTGAAAAGTGAAATTCCACCTGCACAAATTTGTTAGCCCGGAAAAAGGCACTAGGATGATATTTAGGTTCAAGGCACCTTTTGTTGCTTGGGCTCCTGTAGCGTCAAACATAGCTTAGTGGGACCGTGATTTGCAGCATATAAACAAGTGCTAATAGTGAATCTTACAGTTTCCTGTGTCATGTTTGCTTGTGGTAATATATCTTAATAAAAATTACTACATCCCATATATGTAGAGCGAACAAAAGATTGAGAGCTCAGAAAATTATAACTCAAGTCGGGATTACAAGCACCCCAAATCACTGAAAGAAGCCAGACTTACACAAGCCATGTGACTGCAGGTTCTGAGGTTGGTGTGTGCTTGCTGTCCCAGAAAAAAAGGCTTTGTGAAGGCAGTGACAGACAGTAGTTCAAACTGCTGCTGTTGCCACCACAGTGAGGCTGTAAGAGATTATAAGGCTCTTTCTGCATGAGGGAAACTCTTCCTTCTGCTGCACTGTTCAGATACATAAGTCACCATCTCTTCAAAACTTGCTAGCAACCCCCTACTTTGAAATCACCATGGCAACTCTCAGACTGCATTAATACTGTGGACAGTTAAGCCTTCTGATGCCTCAACAAATGCCCCGATCAAAGTCACTGAGGGAAGAAGGAGCCTAGGTTTAATGCTGCAGACAAAGCTGCATTCAGGCTAATATTTGTTAAGAAAACACACAGGAGGTCAACTGTCATGTACAGGCAGAATTAAAGCCCATATTTGTGCTAGCCTGTACCAAGCGGTGTTCTTGTTTTACTTTCCCACGTGCCTCTGATTGCCTGCTGCCCCTCTCTCCTTCAAATCCCCTCTCCAGCCCACCAGCTGAGAACCTAAATAAATTAACAATGCCACCTCCAGCACTATCTTGTTTCAGGGAAATAAAATCTTTTGAGAGGTTAGATTTGTATATAGCAGAGCCCAGACATCATTAAGCAAGTAGTAGATTTCACACAGAAGTGGAAAATTGGATAGCAAGCATTGCCACCAAGATGGTCCCATACTCAACTTCACTAGTGCAAACCGCTCAGAGCACAGGCAGCTCCTTGGGCTCTCTCTGAACTTAAGAGAGCATGTGTTAGTAGAGCTCCTGTCTTCTCAGATATATGTATATTGGAGTGGTGGGCCCATGAAGGATGGGAAACTACCAACCTGCCTAATTCAGTCTCTGAGAGACAGATATTTCCCATAAACTGAACGTTTACAAAATATACTTTACAGAGATATTCAGGTTTAAGTTATACAGGGTTGTACGTTTCATTTGTCTTTCTGGAAAGTGAACTTGCAGTATAATTCATAGAAATCGAATCTAAATACAGCATATACTTTCTCAAAAAAAAAATGGATTGGAAACCCTTTCCCCTCACTCCAAGGCCTAGATATCCTCAAGGATACCAGAACAAATATATCAGTGATGTCAGTCTTTTCTTCTGGCATGTTCAAAAGGTTAGACAGAAAGCACCTTTGAGCTCAAAAAGATGGGATAACATCACTGGATTCATCTTTCCTTCCTCCCCCGCTCTCCCTTCTTATTCAGAAGAAAGTAAATTCGTGGAAATAGACAAATCAAATTCTGCATATGCAGCTCAGCGTGAACACCTTGCCCTGATTCAGAGACTGTCTCGTTCAGAGAATGTGCTCTATGCAGCAAACCTGGAAAACCTTTCTGCTGGGATGATGAGCAAATCTTGTGATAACCTCAGCGTGGAAACCAACAACAGGACTAGAGAGAAAAGCAATCTCCGCAGGTAGGTTTGCTTTTCCCTCTAAATGTGTGTAAAAATACTCACTCATAGACTATACTATTGCAAACCTCTACAGTAAAGTGTGAAGCAGACTCTTTTTTTTTTTCCCCAGTCTTTATTGTGGTCACACCAAAAGGCCTGGGGGTCCATGGTGCCAGCAGTAGTGCAAACACAGGCAGGAAGCTAACAGTCTAACAGATAAGAACTTGAAAAAGAATGACATTTAAATTTGTACCAGACTCGGGAATGAACCACTTAATGGGTTATGGAAAAGGATAAGGGAGAATACAAGTAAAATCTTTAATGTCTGTGTATCTTCTCTGGAAATGGCAACGTGCGAACTGAATGCACAAGGGAAGCTGTTTTTGAGCAGGTCTTACCTAATTGATTCCTCCATGTATAAATGTGCAAATCGTAGAGAACAGTGTAAGAACTTCTCCCTTTTCATTTGCATTGGTACATTCACCAGTGTAGGCGGTTACTATAGCTGCACACAGTCTCAAGGCCTTTGATGAATTCTAGTGCCTTTTAGAATACTAGGAGTTCGAACAGAGCCAAGAAGAACACGAAGTACCAGGAAAACTTTCAGATGCGGTTTTGTCTAAATGGACAGCAGGGCTAAATGAATCATGCTGAGGCTATGCTGTGTTTTCCTGATGCCTGCACTCAGCTCAGAGAAAAACACAGGGGGAAATCAGTCATGTGAGTGGTCTAATGGCAGCTGTTAAATGGAAGCAAATGCTGTCAAGGGTAAACTACCTCTCCTAGATAATGAAATGTGGGCCAGAAATCAGAATACTCATTGAAAGGCTATAAACATGTGCGTTCCCAACTTGGATCTGACAGACTAATGACAACGAAGAGTGCTAAATACCATTGCTGATTTGTTATTGTAATGCAGTTTTCATTTCCTGCTCTGCAGATCCATGTCAGGGCTATCCCAGTCAGAAACTCACATCAATTTGAATGGAAAGCAAAGGAGTTATGACTACCTCTCTATCCACTCAACTCAGAACACAATCAGCGGTGAGTGTAATAATCACAATTTCATATTTATTGTTTCAGTAGCAGGAGACCAAAATATATTCTACTTACAGATTAAAGAATAACCTTTTGCACTTCTAGTCCTGGGAATTAACCCAGAGTTTAGCATGACAAGCTGTTTTCTTCCCTTTCACTCCTGCTTTCCAAAAGGATCAGTGGTAAGGGACTTCATGATAAAATTATTCTATCACCTGTGCCTAATGCTCTTCAGAGACTTAGTTCAGTACACCCAGGACTCTCACATGGGGCAATATCCCTGTGCTCAGAGGTCATCATTTGGTTTGCAATTGAGATCAACCCAATTAATAACGCATGGGACAACATAGGCTCCAGGTCCTTCCTCTGTTCTTGCATCTGCATGACACTAACTGGAATAAGAGCTGGACATCTAATTTTCTAACAGAAGCCATATTGCCTGCACACAGTGAGCAGCTATATGGAATAAAAGCTATGATTATTTGTTTAGTTCATTTTAAAATTAGAACTGTATTTTAAACACACTGGGGCAATTGCACAACATTAAGTTGCGTTAACATTAACAAAGTCACCATCACAATCAGTGCTGGTGGGATTGCACCTACAGAGTCAAAGGGCCTGCAGGGCCAAAGGGTAGAGTTTCCAAAGGAACCCGTAGGAGTTTTTGTGTCCACATCACCCTTATGTTCAATGGGCACTACATGCCTTTCTCTTTATATATCCTAATCTTAATAAAAACATTGCAGATAAATGCATAGTCTTCCAGAAAGGAACATTAGAGGAAGAGTTTACACAGCTACTGTACATATACTTGTCTAAAGAATGCAAATTTCCAAACACTTGTTTGAGCTTCCTTCCTGAATTATATTGGTTCAAAAATAATGGTAATGTTGAAAACAAGGACAAAATACATTTTTAATTTTTGAAGCCCCAGTTTTGCCTACTATATGAATCTACTGTCTCCCTGCATTAATCTGCATTTAGTCTAGCTGGTTTTTTTCTGCAGCACCTGGATCACCAGCCATCCAAAAGGAAGTCTTGCTAAGTGGCCTAGAAAGAGAAATCATATGTGTCAGCCTAAAACGTGACCCTAAGAATGGATTTGGTAAGTAAAGAACATGAATGTTATATTTGTTACCGGGACTGGCAGATCCTGGTGCTAACACTGATACTTGCTGACTCAAGCTGGGCAAGATTGGAACCTCCTCCATCTAATTTATTCTTCCCTTAGAATAAGACTACCAATCTTTGTGAAGGACACAGAATTTCCGAGACTGAAAAGGGCTAAGTACATAAATCAAGACCACATTTTTTTCAGAGGATTAACTAAGGCCACAGAGGTCAAGAGGGCTAAGAGCAGAATGAAAGGAACAAGGGTCTAATTTTATATCTGAAATACGTGCATAGTGATTTTATTTATCTTAGACCTTATACAGAAGGAGATGATGTTCCGCAAACCTTTCAGGTATTACCTGTGGGGGTGCAAAATATGTATACATGCTTAACATGAATGTTTCCCAACTTCTGGATTCTTATTTGGATAATATTTTTGTTATATAATACACTATTGCACTGTATCCTGTTCTTGTGGATGAGTTCAGAGGACCATCAGGTTTCAGAGCTGACCATTAATACAACTAAATGTCAAATTTCTAAATGGTGCAGGTCTGTGTGGAATATCCTGATCCCATACCCAACTATTCTACCAGTGAGAAGAATATATTCTGCAATAGGCAAAATATTCGGACATAGGATAGTGAAATTGAACTACTTGACAATAGATATAATTTTATTAGATATCTCTTACATATCCATTAGAATTTTACATGGCCCACCACAGGGGCCCTAGACTACATGATGCAGAACAATGTTTGAATTTATCTAATGAGTTTTTATACCATTTTCCTCCTGCAGGTGTTAAATACTAAGGTCCACAAAGTTTATGACTCTTGTAAGAAAGTAACTGCAATCTTTAAAGTTCCTAAGCCAGGAAAGTATTTTTATTGAGAAATTGTATTTAAATAGTCACCAAAGTCAGCAGCACACTTTAATTATAACATGAGTTTAAAGATCTCCCAAGTCAAGACCTTGATGACACGTAGATCAGAGCTCCCCATTCTGCAAACCATGTATAAAACTTGCACCATTGGAGTAAGAGCCTTTTGTGCTCTTAAGGTTCATCTTTTCTAATACTGCCAGTGTCTCTGCATTCTCATGCTATCTTCTTTTTGCAGGTTTTGTAATTATTGGAGGAGAAAATGTAGGAAAATTAGACCTCGGTATCTTTATTGCTTCAATTATCCCTGGGGGACCTGCAGACAGAGCTGGAAATATCAAACCAGGTCATTGTCCTTAGTTTTTAATTAGATTTAAAATACTTCCATGGTTTAAAGCTAGCTACTCTGGATTTATTTCCCTATTTAGATTTGCTTTGTCTTTTTTTAACCTTTTTTTTTTTTTTTTAAGGGGGACGACTCATCTCTGTGAATAATATTAGTCTCGAGGGAGTTTCATTTAATACTGCAGTTAAAATCATACAGAATTCTCCCGATGAAGTAGAGCTCATCATCTCTCAACCCAAAGGTATAAAGGCAAATGCTTTGCTGGCTATGGAATACTAGGAGTTAACTCAGAACACTGGTATTTATTAGGCAGTGGGATGTAGTAGTGCTTTCTTGCTACTCAGTGCCAGTTAGAATAACCATAGTCTGGCAATGAAAACAGTCAACTTCTAGTAGGTATCCTGTCATGTCTGTTCTACAGTCAGTGTGAAAAAAATCTATTATGGGCTGCATTGCTGAATACCAAGGGAGTTTTGGCATTTCTTTCTCTGATACAAAGTCAGAGTCCTTTGCAGTGATGAAGCAAATACGTTCCTCCCCACTTATAATAGCAGTACTGCATTTTACAACGACTGACTCATTTTATAGATCTGATTTCAAAACCAGTTGATGTAGGAAGTTATTACTTTGTCCTCCTGTGCTGAGGTATAATAATATTTGCCTTCAAGTTTACTTACTGTTTGCACTCAACAATGTTTTATTTTGGTATGGCTTTGCAGACATGTATGAAGAAGGATTAAATGAGGAAAAGAATTTATCAAGAGGAAACAGCACTAGTGGATCTGAGATCTCTTGTGTAGACAGTAGGAGAAAAAAGATTCAGGATTGTCATACAGCTCTCCCCAAAGAAGAGGACATAAATATAGATGAACTTGAGAAGGCTCTTTCATGGAGTTTAGCACCAAAATTGGGCCCTACGATTCCAGTTACTTCAGCTGATAGCCCACATGTCGAGGTAACTGAGATTTTTATGCTGTTCAGTAATACTAAGCCCAGCATGCGTCTTAACAACCTGCCAGCTATATTAAGAATGGAAAGTAACAGAAATTTAAAAAAATGAGGAAAGGAGAAAGAAAAACTTGGAAGATGTTGCTTGTTAAATTACACTGGAAATGTCAAAATGATAGATATGTCTAGAATATGTGAAAAAAAATGAAATAGGGAAACCCTTCCACAAAATTATATTAAAAGATCTCCCTTTTCCAGTGGAGGTACAAAATTTTGATTATTTTCTTGCTTAAGTCTCTTAAGTTTTCAACCAGACACAGAATAGCAACATTTTGTGTCTAATTTCCTACTGTTAGACAGCTTCCCTATCTATACTCAGTTTATGCACATTTAGACAGATTATAGTTTAAGTAACATTAGTGTAAGCTTGAAATAATGTCAGGGATATAAATGATACCACTTCAGGCTTACAGTGACAGCAGGATCAATCCCTTTATATCTTCTGGTAACTCTTCCCCCCCCCCTTTTTTTATTGAGATGCTGTAGTCTCATTAGTGTTTATATTTTTGAGACAGGAAGTTGATTCTTCGCACTTACCATCTCCATCTGAAACCAACTCAAAGGAAATCTATACTGTGGAGCTTGTTAAAGAAGACGGGACTTTTGGAATCAGTGTGACGGCAAGTGTTACCGTTAATCTTTCGATGTGTCTGTCAAACTGTTCCATGACCAAGAAACACATAGGGAAGTGTATTTATGTGAAACAATGATAGAAAATAGGCTGATAAGAAAAACTGTTAGCATGCCATATTTCAAACATAAGCGTCCAATTGATTGACAGAGAAAGCATAAAGTACTGTCTCTGCTCATTCCCCAGTTCTTGCCTGCAGAATCTGTGGGAGAAGCGTGCTGGCATAAAGCTCGTGGCATCCTCAAACTGAGAACAAGACCTACCACTTGAAAGCGGAGTTTGGTCAGGGATGGATATAGCCAGAGCCTCTAGAACATGAAGTGATTCAAAGAATTGTCCAAGTCATGACTGCTTTTGCTGCTCTCCTTGAATTCCTGGCACTCAAAGGCCGTGTCTGTACAAGTAGATAACACAGGACCATGGCACGGGCTCAAGCAGTAGCCCACAGGCACTGTTTAATTGTTGACAGCCCCCAATATGGCTTTGGCCTGTGCTTCAACAAGCAGCATAAGAGAAGCCATCCCATGTTGGGGGCCTGAAAGTTTAGCTGTGTGGACTCAAGATATGCCATGATTGCCATGAAGGCCAGAGAACAGGTCCTAGCCAATTTCATTTCCTAATATAAGGAAATACAGTTCTCTGTATATTTAGAGGACCAGAGAAGGCAGCAGTGAAAACTATCTGCCACATTTGAATAATAATTCCTCGTCCTGGTTATAAAGAGTTGAATTTACCCCTCCAGGCTGAGATGTCTTTACAGTCCATGCTGAAATGGAGTGGGAAGCAACAGTCATTTCACAGCCTGCAGAAGAAATTGAGGGCTGCTTTTTCATCTGCATTTGGCCAGGGAATGTAGATGGACAGAACATGATTCTTGGGTTAATTTGGAATTCCTCTGAGCTGCAGGCTCTCAAGTGGCTGCACAAGTTCAGGTCCCTGCTTTACATATTGTCTGAAAGGTTAATAATTGCTGAATGGATGTTGCATAGTTTGGAAGCTGGGCTAGAGACTGACTGAAAGATGCAACCCCATCTGAATGTTAGCATAGGGAAAAGATTATGAACATTTAGTAAATTTTTTTATATAGCCACATAGAAACACATTGCATTTTCCTGACAAAATGAGATTACTGTCTAGGGAAGTATATTACAACTAGATGGGACTTTGCAGTAACATCCTCTTTGCTTTTTTTTTTCCCTATATTTAAAAAAAAAAAAAGAAGTAATTCCTGAAGCAGTTTCGTTCCAATGCAGATGTAAGTTGCTTTGATTTTTATCACAGGAGGAACATGTGAAGATTCCACTTTAATCTGCGCGCATATGTTTTGCAGGGTGGAATTAACACTAGTGTGCGTCATGGTGGGATATACGTGAAGTCAATTATTCCCAGGGGACCAGCAGATAAGGACGGACAAATAAAGATAGGTAACATGTCTGGCAATAAAACTCTGGGTTCAATGTTAGTGTGGAATGCTTGCCACAAGGATAACGAAACACATTTGGAATTGGAGGACATACAACTGTGAAACATAATATGCAGTCCATCGCCCTCAGCCTGTCCTTGTACTATGTGTAGATATCCCACTGCCAAACCAGGAGCCTCATACCAACATTGTACAGTTACTTTCTGTAGCTGCACATCAGGCTAGTGACTTTGACATCTACTTTCAGTGTGGCTGTGATAACCAGACACTGTCACTGCATTCACTTATGGAATACCCTGCTATGTTTTAAGTGCTAGTTATAGAATGCTGAACAACAAGCAGTATTGCTTCCATACAAAGTAACTTAATTTGACAAATGTAAGCATGAAGATCTATTGCAATGCAGGCAGCCTCAAGGTTTACACCCATTGAACTTGAACATCAAAGCAACTTGACCCTTTTGTTTGTTTTCATTGCCTCAGGTGATCGCCTGCTGGAAGTAGATGGCATCAGCCTCTGTGGCATCACCCACAAACAGGCTGTGGAACACCTTAAGAAGTCTGGCCAGGTTTGCACAACAGCAGAGCTCAATAAGATACCCAGCAGAATAAACGGCACTTAGTATGAAGTACAGTTGCAAAGCTGGGCCGAAAGAAACACCCCCCCCACCTCACCCCATCCAACGCCGTTCTCCTAAAAAGAAAAGTAAAAAGACTTAGGGCTCGCTATGTACTGTGTAACTGGAACCTGTTCATCATTGTTTTAGATTGCCAAGCTGGTTCTAGAAAGGGGAAACTACCTATTGGCAGAGCCACGCCTGACTGCTAATGACAGAAAGGAGGACCAATGTGCAGTTGTTTCTGTGGCAACATCCTTCACAGATGGTACCAAGGACTACTGCTTTTTGACAGATGGTGAGCGATAAAAAAGGAACCCAGGGTGACCTCTTACAATGTGCAAGAAAGGAATGAATGAAAATAATTTTATGAAATTTATGTGGGTTGGAAGGAAAACTACAGAATAAAAATGTAATGTGCAATATTAATGGCTTTGTCAAAAATCAATCTGAGCAAATTATTTCTGATGTGCTTAGAGTTACAGTTGCTAGATATAGCTGAATTTATCTTAGGCATAAATAGCGTACCTCTCAGCCTTCGTGAGATAAGGGCTGGCAGGGGACATCCCTGTCTATACTGTGGAGCACTCTCAGGCAGAAAGCAGCTGTGTTGATGTTGTCAGTCTGTTACCCAGAGAGAACCGCCAGCACAACTGCTGGTGCTGTGTCAGTGATGAAGCTAGGGTGAAGTGCTGCCCCAGGGCCAGGACTGGAGACTGCCATCACTTCACTTCTTAAAAGCAGAAGATTCAGAGAGCTTTTTCACTGAATTTAGCCAACAAATAAATGCCGTATCTTTTACTGTAAGGCTGTCTCATAAGCACCAAGTCTGAACCATACTTTCCCATGGGGAAGTTACTCCTCTACATTGTCCCTAGCAGAATGGGGTTCAGCTGCGAGTCTGGTATTTGGGAAAGGGCTGGTCTCTTGTTCTTGGCTGGAAAGAGCAGTAGTGCTGGTTCTACCTCATGCTGGTTAGTTTGGATCCTGCACTAACATCAGGCAGCTACAGATCTACCCAATGCTTACAGAAGAATGTCAGAAAAGGATAGCATTTGAACCTTTTTACGTTGGTAAAAAGGCTTCCTCCTTTATGGGCTTGTATCAGATGGCATAAACTCTTTGAACACAGAGTGGCATAGAATCCAGTTCTCCCCATTCTGCCTGTAGGATTTCAAGGGCTCACATAAGCTAAAGGAACACCAAACCCTTCTTTTGCCATTAGTATCAGTAGATCTACCTCTGCAGCTCACAGGGAAAATGTCTGCTTAGGGTATAATTTACATCAGCTCCTTCGGGTGTACATATGCCACAGCTCCCACTCTTTTTCCAATTCCTGTGTTGAACAGATAATATGTTTGAAGTCAAATTGACAAAGAATTCTGGAGGCCTCGGCTTTAGTGTTCTGCAAATGGAAGGAGATGCTTGTGAACACTTTGGAGGTGCTATTTTCAGGATCAAAAGACTGTTTCCAGGGCAGCCAGCTGATGAGAATGGCAAAATTGAAGTCGGAGACATCATTTTAGCTGTGAATGGGAAACCTGTTCAAGGACTCTTGTATCAGGTACCAGGCAGTGCTATTACTAGTACTCCAGATGGGTAATGTGTTAATAAAGACAATGGGATGAAACTGCTTTTAAACTTAATTATCACCAGAGGGAGTTGGAATTTGCATATAATGAATCTGATTTCTATGTAGGATCATTCTCTAGAATTCTTATGGAGAACTCCCTTCCTAACAGAATTCTTACAGAGAATTTCTTCTCCTATTTAATTTATAACTTTCTACTACTAATGCACAAGGTCTATTGTTAAATACACAAGAGTTGTTAATTAGTTGGAATCTTTGTTGGCATTAAGCATAATTGGAACATTTTTTCCCTGTGGTCATTTGTGCTTCATAATGTCACGGTAAATACCATGCCCCAGATTCAAATCTCTACCAGGTGAGGTAAATCCAGTGTTACTTTTTTACCTGGAATGAGAAATTCTATACTCACATGAAGAAATTAAACAGTAAAAGAGGACTACATATGGATTTTCACCTTATGTAAAAATCCCAGAGTTTTGTATATGACTAGTTAAGATTGGTAACAAACAGAAATGATGAAATCATGCAATTTTCCCACTGACAAGTCATTCATATCATTAAATAGCTAGGGCAAAAGACAAGGAGCTCTAAGTCCTAGACACCTGGGGGGTGCTGTAGTTGTACTCCATTGGTGTTTTTTCTAACCTGAAGTCTGTCCTTTTCCAGCACTGTCTTGCTCTCTGACATACAGCCTTTTTACTCAGTTTGTGCAAAGGGGCAGACAGGGTGTTTTGGCCTAGAGCATTGCCCCCCCGCCCCAGACTAAGTATTTAATCCCCCACTATAGCTGAAAGCTCAATGCCACTGAATAGATGTTATGTCAAGGAGGGGCTTTGAGAAAGTCTCTCTTTGGTTATGTCAATATGGCAGTCTGTGGAGCTATGCTAATATAGTTAACTGAAGATATATCTCCGCCCTATGAAGTTTGAATGAATTTGTCTGAAAACTGTTTTCTTTAAGAAAAGAAAAAGAAATAATTTAAACCTACGTGCCTGTTGGTGAAACAAGTGTTTGTAAACAGAACTGTGTCTATGTTAGATACACATTCACATAAAAACTATGGTGCACTTATACATCATACAGTAGTGAATTTTGGCCCCCAGACACTGTTGAGAGGCACAAATACTAGGAATTTGGCATTTACAATAAAAATTGTCTCCATCCCAGTTGGTAAAGTGACAGGTACCACAGACTCTTCCATAAGAAATCTAATATTCCTTCTTCATGCTTAGGAAGTCCTGCACTTGTTGAGAGGAGCTCCTCCAGAAGTCACACTACTACTTTGCAGACCACCAAAAGGTGTTCTTCCAGAGATAGAGCAGAGTGCCCTGGTAAGGCAAAGCTTCTTTCAGTAAACTTGCTTCTGTAAACCCTGAAAAACACTACTTCGTTTTCTATCCAGTCTTGAACAAGGCAACCTTCCCTTTTCTCCAAGGCCTTCCATTCCATTTCTTTCCTTTCCCAGCTTCAACTCAACCTCTAGAGTTCAACTGATTCTTCCTTAGCAACTAAAATAATAGAACACCAACAGATGTGAAACATATTTATCCCAGTCCAATAACTTTTGAATTGCAGTACTCTAATTGCAGTGAAACAGCACATTCCGAAGCAGATCTAGTGATACTTCTAAAAATGCCTTACTAGGTCCTCAGCCAGAAACTGCAGATATTCTCAACTGCAGCTGTTATAACTCATGGGCATGAGCTAGCTATATTACTCCCAAAAGCCAAGAGGAAAATAAAGAACTTCCTATCCAAGCTACCTCTTAATAAACTTAAATAAATTAAATAATGGTTTCAACTGGTTATTCAGCTTCTTATTGATAGTTAGCAGAATCTGTAGGTGAGAAGGAAAAAGAAAAAAAAAACAATAAAAAAACCCCAAACAGTAGAGACTGCAGAGACTAAAACAGTGAGATTAGGTGTGCTAGCATTATTTAGCATTATTATTCCTGCTTCTTGAACAACTCATGAACACATACACAAGTACTCTTATAATGAACATGCGTTTACATTACTCTTGCTCCATGCAGAATGGCCCACTCGTGGTTCCTGTCCCACCAGGATTTGAGAGCTGTCAGGACCATCTCTCGATAACAAACTGGCTCCTGTTGCTCTCCTGCAATGTGACGTTTGCCGATTTCCACAGTCAGTCACACAGGAGTCAAATCTGAAAGCCATTTCTAGACAATGAAGATAGCATAGACACAAAGTTGAGGCATGATAGGAAAAGACATAAAAAGTAGCCACCTCTAGCAAAGAATTCATTGAGAAAAGTGAACTTGTGTAGTATTTCCCTGGCTGGAACTCCTGAAGAATGTGGAAGATAAGCATAAAGACAAACCAGTTACTTACTGAGAGAGTACCTCCCTCTATTTTTCCCCCCCTTCCAGCTATCATTTGATATTTTCACATTCAGATGCTTATTGATATTGCTTCTTCAGATTATTTTGTTCTTAAAGGAAAGAAGATGGGAGGTAAAAAAGGAGTTACACTAACCTTTCTGTTATTTTGATAGACTCCAGCACCATCTCCAATTAAGGAGTTTGTAGCAGAAATGCCAGGAAGTACAGAGGTAGGAAATAGTATGGATCAGTCTACCAGTGATGGAGGTAGCACCTCTCCAGACCTTGAAGACTGCCTGGATTCTCCAGTGGCAGCAGATTTCAGTGAGCCTCCTGAAGAGGACAGCTCAACTTACGAAGACCAGGAAGCTCAGTTTCAAGAAAAGCCCATACAGAAACTGATGGCTCCCACGGAAACTTTCTATAAGCACCTTTGGAAGTTTCATCAAGAAGCTGCCAGTTCTGAAGTCTTCCACTCCCTAGAGGAAGAAGTGAAGCAGAACTGCTACTCACCATGCGAATTTGGATGGGCCAAAAGGTAGGGAATACTGAAATCTGCTCTGCAGCCTTCCCTTCAGCTCTTAGAATTTTGAAAGTGAATTGCTTAGGTTTAAGTACAGGGCTATCTGCTTCTAATCACTGCTGATTACTGAAGATTTTTTTTTTTTTTACCATCTTATTCTGACTATCCTAATCTCCTGTCTATTTACTCTCATCTTATTAGATTTTTGCATAAGTCTGCATTGCAAGACAGTTGTATGAGTGCTGCACTACTGTAATCATTTATGCTGTTCAGCTGAAGCTGCCTGCAGTTTGAAATCAGTCCAAAGACTCTTGTTGACTTAAATAGGAACCAAAGACTTTCTTACTTATTATACAATCTTCTCATTTCAGTTTTCAGAGTTGACTTAAATAGGCACCAAAATTTTTTCTTATTGTGTGATTATTTTTTTTCCTCTGAAAAACTTTGATATGAAAAACAAATTCAGAAGGCAAACCATGATCAAGGAGAAAAAAAAACCCCAAAATTATTTTCCACTCTTCAGAAGCCAATAGAATCCCTGAACCAGAGAGGTTATACAATATACAGGGGAGTTATACAACATACAGACAGTCAGATTCCAGTCCTAGGAATCACAGCATTAGCTGACTGCAAGTCAAGTGGGGCCATAACGGCAGTTAATACTTTTCGCTCCTCTCTCAAGAGGAGAAGCTTCACTCACATTCATGAATGAAGCTCCTGCTTACATGTTTCTCTACTACTCAGAATAAAATGAGTAGAAATACATCTGTAGCAAATATATTTGCCAAAAGATACAGTTTCAACAAAACCAAGTTTATTGTGGGTAAAAAACCCAATTCCAATAAAAGTTTTGGATTCTTCCCAAGAAGGAAGTTCTGAAAGAAATGTTTTTGTTTGATACATTCTCCGTATGATTGAGTTTCAAGCTTTTGCATTTTCAAAAGGCAGCCAGAGCAGTTTAAGATGGCATGCATTTTAATCTGTATTTTAAACATAATCTCAGTTTAAATGATCCTTCCAGCTAAAAGCATACAAAAAACCCCATAAGGAAATAGGCATTAATGAAGGAATTCCTTTTGAATAGTGAAGAAATTTCTTTTCTTCAGATTGCTTAAAACTTTTCATGCAAATGTAGAAATATTCTCATATGAATTTTAAGAGTTCCCTGCTCAGGTTTTCACATGCAGAGTTCCTTTCACTCTTCTCAACGCTACCAATAAGAACCTTTGGAAAAGCTGCTTTGAAAAACTTTAACCCATAGTTTCCCCCTGTGAAATCCTGGTGCAGGGGTCACGAGACTCCAAAAGAAAGTCTAGCATGTCAGTGGAGCTCATGCACGGGCCTGCAGGACCAAGACTCGTATTATTTCCCATGGTGATGTAAAGGTGGGCAAGAAGCTGTGCTATGATTAAGCCACTGCTGGCTCATTGTCTTGAGCTTGTGTGCCTCTGCCAAACACCCTTCATACCCTTTGAAGGTCAGTCAGCACTCCACTAGGACGTGACAGCTTCTGTAACATACACATTGACCAATTTTCATTTAACTTTTTTCTTTCCTGTCTCCAAAAGAAATGAGCAGACTAAATTTGCTGTTATCCTTAAGCATTTCTTGTAAGTATCCCAGCCTTCTTCACAGTATTGTTAGTGTCTGTTGTCCAACTATTAAAGCACAAACGGTCAGCTTTGTTCTCAGCTTTGCTGTGCTACTGGAGATGGCCAGCTTCTCATTTCCTCCCTGCAGAGACAGAAGCTAACAGACCAGATTGCTTCCCTCGCCGAAAGCATACGTCATAAGCCTACAAGTTTTTCTTATTTTCATCAGTATTTCAAGAATACCATCGAAGGCTACTAACTATATCCAACCAAAATGCCTGTTTTGCTACTGTGCTTTATATTTTTTTATGACTATATACAACTTTTGAAACAAGAGCTTAACACTGGATCTTCTGTGATTTCATACAAGACACCCAATTTCTGTTCCTTTTAGTTGTGTATGTTTGCTTGGGAGATGGTAGACACAGTTCAGTTTTATCAGAGTGTGAAAGATCCTAGGTGACCGTTATATATGAAATGACATGGCATCTTTGCTATGTGAAGCATTAATAAAAGCTATGCCATTTTAATTATTTTTAAGATCACAGAATGATAGGGGTTGGAAGGGACTTCTGGAGATCATCTAGTCCAACCCCCCTGCCAGAGCAGGTTCACCTACAGCAGGTCGCACAGGATGGTGTTCAGGTGGGTTTTTGCACGTCTCCAGAGTCGGAGACGCCACCACCTCTCTGGGCAGCCTGTGCCAGTGCTCTGCCACCCTCAAAGTAAAGAAGGTCCTCCTCATGGTTAGATGGAACTTCCTATGTTCAAGTTTGTGCCAGTTACCTCTTGTCCTATCACTGGGCACTGCTGAAAAAAAGACTGGTCCCATCCTCCTGGCACTCTCCCTTTAAGTATTGATAAGCATTGATAAGATCCCCCCTCAGTCTTTTCTTCTGCAGACTAAAAAGACCCAAGTCTCTCAGCTTTTCCTCATAAGAAAGATGTTCCAGTCCCCTAATCATCTTCATAGCCCTTTGCTCTACCTTCTCCAGCAGTTCCCTGTCCATCTTGAACCAGGGAGCCCAGAACTGGACACAATACTCCAGATGCGGACTCACCAGGGCAGAGTAGAGGGGGATGGTAACCTCCCTCAACCTGCTGGCCACACTCTTCTTAAAGCACCCTGGGATGCCATTCACCTTCTTTGCCACAAGGGCACATTGCTGACTCATGGTCATGCTGTTGTCCACGAGGACTCCCAGGTCCCTTTCAACAGAGCTGCTCTCCAGCAGGTCAGCCCCCAACCTGTACTGATGCATGGGGTTATTCCTCATGATGAATGAGGTTTAGCAATATTTCAATAAAGATTGATATAAAGAAAACATACTTTAAAAAAAAAATGTGTTTCAAGCATTTCAATTAGCTTTAATGGTAAATTTAATGGGAGACAATCCTATAGTGGTCTGTTAGAGTTCATTTATGATGACAGCCAAAACAATATCAAATACAATACATATGATTACAGTCTGGGCTTGAACATCAGAAGTACTGAATACTGTCTCCAATATAGTGGAATAAAATCAATAATAATTTTAATTCAAGTAACTGAACTAATCTGTTGATTTCTGTAGGAAAACTCTTACACTTCAAGGCAAGCATAAGAATAAAAGCAAGCTCACAAAGAGAAGGCAGGACTTGTATTTTTTAATGAGACAGGAATCATTTTATATTTCATGTTTCTGGTCTGTGCTCGAGTTACTAAGGAAGGACCTGTAGGAGCCAGGAAAATGGCTGGCATTCCTTTTTCAAAAAAATACAATGCTACTACAATTTTCATGTTTGGAATATGCAAACAACTTAATTAACTTATCTGGTAAGTGGTATATGGCAGATGAAATAATTAATGGTCTAGGAATTGTCTGATTATTCTTTTCAAGAAGTAACCAAAGTACTAATTAATGACTTAAAACAAAAGTGCAAGATTTTGCGAAGGCTGTTTTCAAATTCCACAAGCTTTTCAATCTTTTAACTATCTTTGCAAAATATTGATTACTTATTTATTTATATAGTAACACTGGAGAACCCAGAGAGCAATTTAATACCGTAACTAGTACTTCAGTTAAAATTAAAATAATGTCATGTATAAGCTGTAGACTTTTCAGTGGCCATCTAATCAAGCATATGGAGGAAAACCCCAGCAGTGCAATCTCTTTATTTTCCAGCCGCATATTTAATAAGAGTGATGATGACCTATCAAACACAAAATGTATGCCTGAAACACTCTCTCTAACCCCTATTGATGAAGAGTATCTCACTATCAGCTCAACGTCTGTGACCTCACTTTCACGGGGAGGAAGCTCTGAGACACTCTCCACAACCATGGTGACCCCACAACCACGTGTTTGTGGTCCCTTATCATCCCTGCCTGCTAGAGAGACACATGACAGTGACAATGAATGGGAAGACTTCGAGGAACTAGAGGAAGAGAAGGAAGAAAAGGAAGATTGCATCAGGGTATGTGACAGGCACCAGATTATTTACAGGTAGAATATGACAAGGGAAAAGAAACAACTTTCAGAACGCAACATTCTTGAACATTAATTTTAACTCATTGTCTATGCTATTTCTGCATGATTTTTTTTTTACTTTCCTGAATGTCCACGATCTTCAAGTAAAGCAGACTTTTCGCTATGCCCAGCTCTCTGGAATTCTTTACCAATTGCCTTAAGGCCTTCCCCTTGCTTTTGCCATCTTAGTATTTCTTCAATTTTCCAGCATTCTGCTCTGTTATTCTCAGTGTACAAAGGCCTAAAAACACTCTAGTAGCCTCTAAAATTAATTGGAGTTAGCTACTTGGTTTTCTTCTGTCATGTTTTAAACCCATGCGGAAAATCATTTTGTTACAGTGATACTACTGTAATGTCCTGATAAGAAAGTATGATCCTTGTGCTAATTACTATTCAAAATATAAGGCTCAGTCTTGCCAAATGCTGAACATCTTGCATTCCTTCTGACACTAATGAGCTCTGATTTCCTACTAATTTGAGAGTACTGAGGACAAAATTTAGCTCCAGCCATTTCCTTCAATGGGACAGCAATCACAATAACAACAATAATCTCTGCACCCTACTATTATAATGCTTGTCAACTCAGAGTACTCCAAGCCTTTTCTTACACATTTCAAATGCCAAAATTCCAGTCCCTGAAGGCATTCTCTGCCTTATTAGGCCCTATCAATCAATCACCATGAAGGTCCACTAGGTAAAAAGAAGTAAAATTAATTCCAGATCAAGGCAGTGAGAAATCAGAGAAACCCTTATGTTTGCTCTTATTTACACAATCTGAGGATCTGATTCTTGTCTGCATATAAAACATAACGGGAGATGTCAATGAAGGAACAGAAAAGCCTACATCAAACCTATCTTGTGCTTGTTTTAACAGGAAACAGAGATCTCTGTGACTTTGACAAAGTCAGAGAACAACAGTTATGGATTCTCTGTAGTTCTTAACAAAGTGGACAGCTGCCTGTACGTTGATGAAGTCTTGAATGAGCCGGCCCTGTCTGATGGAAGACTAAGAAGGGGAGACAGAATCATTATGGTACAGTAATTCTTTGAGTTTATACAGAGGAGAAAGTATTTTCAGATCAATGTCATTTAGCTTCAGCATTCTTCCTTTCATAGGGTCCTGTTTATCACATATTTAGGCATGCAAGTGCAAATGAGTCATATAATAAATGTAGTTCTGGTGACTTCAGTAGGACAAATTTCAGACTGAATAGATTATATGACCAGGCAAATAACATGAATCATCTAGCAGCAATGCAAGACTACCGAGATATTAAATGACTTCCCAATTAAATGACAAACTGAATTAAAGTAATAAGATAAGTGACATACAAAGGATACAGGAGTTATGTCCTTTGTAATGCATTAATAAAGCCTGTTTTCAGCCTGATTCATCTTCAGTTTGTTGTATTAGACTCTCTTCCTTGTTTTTTGCTACAAGACCTTGAGTTTCAAGAAAAAAAAAAAGAGCTATTTTTATGAAAGCTCTGCATTCAGAAAAATAAAAGATCAAAAAAGAAACCTTACTGCAATCACTGTCTTTAAATACCACAGCAAAGCAGTAACATGAAAGTGAAAACAAATTTAAGTTCATATGCAAAATTCAGAGTGGAGGTAGAAGTACATGATGGTCAATGAGATCTATAACATCATTTTACTGGTTTGTCATTTAGGTGAATGGAACTGATGCCACATCTTTACCATGCAATGAAGCCCTGACTTTACTGAAAAGCTCTCCTCCTGATCTGCACCTTGTGGTTGGTCGTGCTGACAGCGATCCGCGTCCCTCTATTAGGCTAGATGAGATTCCCGAAATTACTCTGACAAAAGGTGCCAATGGACAGCTAGGTGTGTAGTAGATACTATGCATGCTATTTTGGACAGGGATTACAGCAATCGTAAGACAATCATAAGCAACTGCGGTCTTGAATCAATATGATCCTGAGTGACCTTGACACCTTTATGCTCTGCTCCATCACCCATGACCAAGAAACAGAGAACTTTTTTGGGCAAGGCCTTAAAGGGAAGACTAATATCTCTTATTAGACCAGTGAAGATAGTTGGAAAACTGATCTTTGTATTATCACCCTTTCAGCTGAAGTTTCTGGCAGATCTCCAGTCTCATATTTTTAGGTTACCGATATACAGAACTGTTGGCAATTAGATAATAATGTCTACTACCTGCTGAGATACATAAAGACCTATTTGGAGGGAAAGAAAAAAAAAAAAGGCCAAAAAAAGGCAAAGTTTGAGAAGGACGAGCCACTGGTTAGGGCAATAGTTTGCGATTCAAAAAATCTCCACTCACATCCTTGATTTACCACAGACACAAGGCTTTAGCTCCATTGTACCATTCAAATGATAAAAGAAATGCCCACAGCGTATCTTGATATTTCTGCAGAATGTGGCGAGTACTGCACAGAGATAAAACTGTGGACGCAGGAAACAGTATACCTATATTTGCTCAGGTGTAGCATCCTGTTTCCAATTCAGAAACTAGCTTGTTCAGAGATTGCTTGAATATCGCTGCACAATTCAGTTTTGCACTGTATAGGTAGCTCCTTTGTTGTCATATGCCTCCTTTCCCTATGGCACTCTAAAGACTGCAAGGCACTTAAGCACTCCGATAATGAGGGAGACACTGCTGTGCAACCAAGTGTCTTATTCCAATGACATAAGGTGAAATAAAGCACTCTGGAATAGCTGAAACATAGAGATGGACTATACCATTTAAGTCTTTCCCATACTTTTTAAACATCGAATTGCATTTCACTCTCCCAGTCCAGCTCTTACACCCCATCTCACTGGGACAAGACTGTTATTTACAATGTCAGTGATTTGTTCAGCCTATCTTTCAATGACCCACATCTATTCCATTAGGCTGTATGTCACTGACAGTGACATTCAAAACACGCTGCCACAAAAGATGCTTTCTCTGCATTATTCTAGGCTTGAAGCTGACAGGAGGAGCTGGAAGCAAGTTACAAGGTATTTATGTGCTAGAGATAGTGCCTGGCTCTCCTGCCAGTGTGGAAGGCAGTTTGCAGCCACGAGATCAGATTGTTTACATCTGTGGACTGTGGACTGAGGGCATTAGCCTGGATGATGCAGTGAGAGTGTGTGAAGCTGCCACCCAGACTGTCCAAATCAAAGCCACAAGGTAAATCTGAGCATACTCAATCTCAATCCTAATGTTGAAGCAGGTCTCTAAATTTTACATCAGCAAGTCAAACAATAGAAACAAGACAAACTATAAGAAAAATGCTTTACCTCAAAGGTCTGAAAGCTCCAACCTGATACATAAGATCCATAAGATATTTTAACTTCTTGTAATTACAACTAACACAGTGAGTACGAGCAGAGTCATACAACACGAATACGAACTCTTCAAACTTCATGATCCAACACAAATGTGAATCCTTTAGCTGTGAGGCTGGCCACCATTTTCAGATATCCTATCCTCTGGGGAAAATGTTTATATTTCCACCACTAGTGCTGCCCTGCTCTGTACAATCTCAGATTCACAACTACAAGCAAGAAACTACCTCTGACAGGAAAATTCTGAGTTACTTCCAACAGACAAACATTTTAAATGCAGCATTTAATCTGCAGCATGCAACAAAAAGTCAGCCCAGGCTTGATCAATAATGTCCAGTTAAGAATTTCCCTCATCAGTTCTTAGCTGCACTTTAGATTTATTGGTTCTACAGTCTGATACAGCACCAGCAGAGGTGCTGGACTGATACAGAAATAGCTTTCAGAGATCTCAAAGGAACAGTCAAATAGTAACCCAAAGGTACATGAATAACTAAGTTACATAACCAGAGTGAGCGATAGTATGTCTCTCACAGCTGTCTTAACATAGTTCAAACTTTTACTAATGTTTTATTAACTTGCACTGGTCTAGCAGATGAAACTGCAGCCCCGTTATACTTCTCGCAGTTAGTAGGCAGCACACCCTGATAGTAAAAATTTACGATATAGGGAGACAAACAGAAATAGGGCAAAGGAAATTACAAAAGATCATTCCCACTTTATAGAGGGGGAATGGAGGCTGAATTCAAAATGTGCCACAGGGTAGTTCTGTATTGGGACAGATGGTTTAACACGTTCTTTATTTCTCCCACCCATTTAAATAAAATGCTTTGCTGTTGTTAGATACAATAAATTTTTTTATATATTGATATAAATGCTTTTTAGGAAAGCACCATTAACAAAAATCATAGAAGTACAACTACAATTTAGACAACTGACTTTCTAAAAACATTTTTCATATGTGCTTTACAAAGCATGCAGCTCTTAATGGCTCACATATTTCACTTTTTCTGCCCCCAGAAATGGCAATCCAGTGGTTCCTATAGAGCAGGAAAATAGTAAGTAAGGCAAATATTTTTGGTTTTTAGTTCAAAACTTACTTCTGATTTTGGAAATAAGCATAAGGTATTGATTAATTGCATTTTAAAAGTTAACAGCCTCTAACTTGGCATTCAGTATTTCTGTTACAGCCATTCTAAGGGTCTATTAAAGATAGAAATAAAATTTATAGTTCTCTGTAAAAAAATTTATTGCATTTTGCATAGACAGTTTTTTTTTTTTAATTTGTTGTTATTAAATGGGAGCTTTATGTGGTCATATTTCAACATGTTTTGATTGACACTATTCTCTAAGGGGTTTCCCAGCACTTTTTGCGCCACTATTTAATATGAGCTACTACTTCATCATCTAGACCAACTTTTTAAACTGTTATCAATAAATCTATAGAAAATATGAAACAGGCAGCACCAATATAATATCCCTTAGTTAATATAAGAACATTTCTATCAGGGGTCAATAATTAATACTGTAACTGACACAAAACTTCAGTAATCACCTGCACTACAAAGACCTGACCAGAATTGCTCTAGCAGTAGAAGCAGTCTCAGCAAGCAGAGGCAGCATCTGCAGAGTCAGGTGGAGGGATAGGTATCACATCTATGTCACTGCATAGAAAGTGTCTTAGCTGTGCAAGTAATGCTTCCCAGTGTACATTTGGCTGGAGTGTTAAGTCAGGCCTAACCCACGGCTTCATTTACTTGACTGGATATCTGAATATTTTATTTTTTTTTAATCATGCAAAGATGACCTGAAAAAGTAATCCTGGACCAGAATTGCTCATATGCCTACACTCATCTGAGTACTGTCACATGGCTACCTGAAAAAATTATTCCAAGTCAAGCTAGTTTCAGATTTCCTGCTCTACAACAACTAGCCATGTGTTTGTTTTTATAAGTGGAAGCAGCTTATTTCACTTACAGAAGAACAAGCTTCTTTGAATTTGCTACAAGGCACAGATAAAGCTATTTGTACTCTCAGTTACTGTTGCATAACTAAAGCATGGTAAATGCCGGTAGGACCTTGCTTACACATCCTTGCTCCTTGGAATCTGCAGAGCTCATAATTTCTCGAGACACCTTCAAAATAGGTTACCAGATCTGATCCACCTCTGATACAGATTTATGAACTCTACAATGGTACAGTTACCTGCATCTCTTAAAAAACAAGATTCTTCCCTATAGTAATTTGGTATTTGGTGTTCTGTTTGCTATCATCTCTTATAGGTTTATAAAGAAATCTATAATAATTTGCTATTAAGGAAGCAAGCCTTTGTTTTATAGAATCTCTTAGTTACAAAAATACGTACGAAAATTCTAAATACAACAGGGAGGTTTTTGGAGTTGGTTTATTTGTTGGTTTTTGTTTGTCTGTTTTTAACAACAGAACACTCAATTTTCTATAATTCATACATTCAGAGTATTTTGTGGACTACAACTAAGATCACCAAGATATAATAAAGCAAAACCCCAAAACTGGGGTGGGTGAGTAGAGGTGGGACTGTCAAGAAACACACATTGTCTTCTTCCATGTCCATCTCTGCAGACCCTAATACACCCTGCTTCTTCCTCTGCCCGACCATTGCCACGTCTAGAATGTCTCAGTCTGATCTCCGATTGTTGTTACAATTTTAAAAATAGCAATGACTGAGATGCAACATCTCTGCAACTCATGACAGAATTGTTTATATCACTGTGCAAATTGGCAAATTTAAGCAGTGCTAAGTGTCTCAAACTGCCTCATATAGTATCAATACTGGATATTGATGCTTTGTTTAATAATTTAAGCACAGAGTTTACATTCCCTTGTGTATATGAAGGTTAGCAGAAGGCCTGTCAGAACAAACCTACATGTATGCTTTTAGGGCCACGTGCTGAGACAGAGAAAGCCAGTCTTTCTTTCTCAAATGAAAACCTGAATTCCCAAGAACAGCATCTGCTGCATCAACATGGTAAGGATCTTTGGATTTTTCGATTAGGGTTTGTAAAATTTTGTGCCCTCTCTTCGAAAGAAAGTAAATCTGTAGGTGTTACTGGCAGCACTTGGGAAAGATTAATTCTTCATAAACAAAACTGCCTCCCTCAGAGTTTCAGAGAACACATACAGTACCTGTTGTTCATCTGGTGTCTCTGACCCTGTAACATTCAGCTTTTAAAGCTTGTTTTGGAACCTGCTCCCTGGGAGGTAAAAAGACTACATGGATAATGCGCAGAATGCTCACTTCACAGTTCAGGAGCATAAGCCCACATAAGTCCACAGGATTTTTTTGTGTTTTACATATCAAATATAAAATGTTCTATTATGTCTTTGAATACAGTTTTGATTGTTATGCTATAGAACATTTTACCAGTACAACTGTGTAAATGTTGTTGCTGCTTTTTCACAGAGAAATATTTGGAGGAAACAAACTGTTGTGCCCAGCAAAACACTCCTGATTCTCCAGAATGTAAGGTAAGTGACAATTTTATCAAGTGTGAGGTGGTCCATCAAGTGAAGTGAGCTGTATGGAGTGATATTTTTTCAATAGTGGTATTTAATAGATTTGCTTCCTCTCCGGTTTCCTTGAAAACATGAATATAATGCTTTTGGAGAGTGACCTGTGAAATGTTGAATTGCTTCAGCATTCATGGACTAGAATGTGCTGAGCACGTCCTGGGGTCAGACTCTTCTATTGCTGTTTATCAATGTATAATACCACTATTTTACCAGCTTGGTAAAATAAGCACGACTCATATGACGTAGACCCTCCATTAGGTCTTCATAGTACTCTTAACAGCTTACAAGGTTAATCCTTAGCTTAGAAAGAAAGTAGCACAGGAAAAAGATACAGAATGTCACAGCATGAGATTCTGGGGAAAATAAGTGTAATTGTAATTTGGAAGCATTTTCCACAACAATCTTTGAAACTTGAGATTAATGTTTTATTCTGAAATTCTTAGATGTGGCATTTGAAAAAGAGGGTAAAATTACTCCAAACCTTTGGAGTGTTATACAGCATTGACATCAACCACAACAGTTTGAATTTGGCAAGACTAATACCATTTTTGAAATTATGAATTCCTAAAACGTGTGTTCTTTGAAAAAAGTAAGTTATTTCTATGCTTAACATACAACACTTCAAAATTCTTACAAGTGCAAACATCACTTCTATTTGTGCAAACGTGGAAAATAACATTACTTGGAATTGAAGTTACCCACATTGGGTTGGATATTTCATGGGAATAGATTTACCAGTTTTCTCTCGATTGTGGTTTGCAAAGAAGGGCTGTCTCTTGTTAAAATTAGACCTCCAACCTTGGAGAAAAATTTGAACAATTTTCTCAGTTTTGATTAAGTCATCACTATCACTGCTCTTTCTGCACTATTTAATCCATGATCTATTCAACTTGCTAAAATAATTTCTGAGGATGATATTTGCAACATTAGAACTAATCACGCTGCAAGTCATAAACATTTCTAGGTTGCTGCTATTTCTGACATAATACTTGACCCTAAAAAAGCAGCTGATTTTAAAACTGAATGAAGTGCTAAAGCCAAACAGATGGGTACTTTGGGGTTGCAAGGTTAAGATTTTCATTACAGAACAATAAAAGAACAGAGTATTTACTGCATTACTGTCATGCTGGAGACAAGAGTGACTTGATTGTCGCTAGAGGTGATGTATTTGATATATTATAAAAGGATTACAAAAGTACATTTCCCTGCTCATAAGAGGTTCTTTCCCCTCCAACAATTAGTAAAAAAGATTATGGAAATAAGTATGCACTATTTTCATTCTGATGCATACATGCAGCTGCTATGTTAATCACTGGAAGCCCTATACACCTATTCAACAGAAGAATACTTCCCATAACTTGTATCAGCCAGTGAGGCCTGCGAAGCATAATGGGATTCCTTGGTATTAAAAATACAAACAAAACCAGCCCTGAATAAACTCCACTTTAGACCATATTGTCTTCTATTGTAGGACTTCATTTTTAAGGTAGAGCTGGAAAAAGCAGAAAACGGAAGCCTAGGATTCGCACTGGTAGGTGGAAGAAATGGCAGGGCTATCCTAATAAAAGCCATCAGCCCGGACAGCATTGCAGACCTAGATGGGAGGCTTCAAGTTGGTGACATCCTACTTAAGGTAATGCTTGTTCTTCATTGTTTCGGCCTACATTTTCTCTAGTTGTTTCGTAACAAGCATTCTGTTCAGTGTAAAGGTTGTGCAGATTGGAAATCTGAGGCTGCTTGGCACAGTAACATGTAGAAGATGGTGTCCCTCAGCAACTTGGGATCAGAGGGCTGTTCTGCGGCGCGGCCCGCCCCCTCCTTTGTCTAGGGCTCGGCTTCCTGGGGGACTGGGCCTCTCTACAGCTGGAGGTGGCTGTTGTCACTCCAGCAGAGAAGCAGACCCAGAACAGCATGGCAAGTGGCAAAGTACAACTACTCCATAGCGTAACTGTGCCCAGTGAGGATTACACATGAAAAAGCGAGGGAAACGAGTTAACTGACCAAGCATGCATATAACAGCTAACCAGGAAGATACTGGAAGGAACCCATCATCAGTGCCAGTTAACTCAAGACAAGCAAAAAGTTATCAAGACACACAAAAAACAATGGAATTAATGAAGTTACAACTCAGGGCTGGGATATGCGATTAAAAAAAAGCTCTCTGTTACAGGAATCTAAAAGTACATATAATTGTATTTTTCAGGTGAATGAGACTTTTGTGTCAGGTCTAACACGCCAAACAGTTATAGATTTGCTGCGCAAAGCTCAAGGAACTGTTCAACTCACTGTTTGCCGAAGCATGGCTTTGCACTTGGCTTATTCAGGCAATCAGAGCAACAGTCTGCCTTCCCCTGCAAACACAAAAGCGGAGCCGGGTAAGCAGCTACATCCACTTAGTATGCAATAGAAGTGGGGTTATTTGTTGCCTGAATTCAACTTCCCTATTAGCAAAACAGTTCAATATTATTAACTTCACACCTAGTCCTGATTCATAGCTGTAGATACAAATACATTCTTCACCCTGATCTGCAGCTCTGGTTAAGCTACTCAAGACATAGGACCACAGTGAAGGAATGGCCAAGTGTGATTTTAAAGTCTAGCAATAGCAGAAACAAAGCTACAAGACCTGCAAAGATGCTTTAACTCAGCTCATGTTTTTAAGTCAAGAAGGTTCCTGGTCTGATTTTACCCAATTTTATACAACTCACTGATGGAATCACAACCAATTATTGACCCAGCTGCTGAAATACATTTCCCACAAACTTTACATCCCAGCATTCCTACCTTATCTCTTGGAAGCACTACAGCTCCTGTTCTGCCTGCCAGACAGCCACTCTCCCTTCCATGCTCCTTCATGTTTAAATCCAGAAGCCTCTGGTTCTGGGTTGATTGGTAGTAATTAGAGAGCACACCCACCTGCATAGGGCAGTAGTTAGAGGGCTGATTACTCTAATGAAAGAAACTTGTGCTGCTGGCTCTGCTCTACTGAATACTCAAAATTTAAATACTAATTAAAGCTGGGAGCAGAAGCAAGGGTATACTATTACCAATAGATTATGGGTTTATATTCCTCAACTTTCCATTTTTTTTAAACATTTAAATGTTTACTATAATGTGGAGAAACTTCTGTGGGAAGAATATAGACTTCCTCCTTAATATAACTTCTGGTCTGCTGGTTACAAATTGGAGGCTTTGTTTCAAGTCTTCTCAGGCAAGAAGCCACTGCCATTGACATTTGCTTTCTCCCCAGCTGACTAGGAAGAGACGCAGAGCTGACTGTGGGTTTTGGACGTTTATGCAAATGTTTATGCATCTAGTCAGCTCTACTGATGCAAACTTACCTGCATAGGTATTTTAGGCAATTGTGCTGTTAGGCAGCAACTGCCTCTAGGGTTTGAGGATCTCAATTTTTTCAGTATCTATTAGACTGAACCTAATCCTCTTTAACTCCTAGCCTGTGTCACAAGCACTGGACACTTCTTCACTTATTGGAAGTTACCCTGTGTGTTTCAAGAGCAAAGTTTTTCCATAAGGATGAGAGAGCTGTGCTCAGCACTAGCCTGGAAGGAGGATGTTTGCTGCCCCATCTCTATCCTAGTTTAATTTTGGGGGTTAATGATGAAAAAAAAAAAAAGGAATGATGGCCAGTTATAAAAAGACTGATTGAAGCTCTTGCTCTTTTAAGGGCTGTGGAAATATTCCCATTCCCTTCAGCAAGACTAGCCTTTTCTCCAGCTCTGCAAATTCAAGGAACTAGGTGTGCATTTCACACGAGATTGGTGAATTATGCAGTTGCTGGAAAGTTTAAACTGTGTTCCTGGACCAGCAAAACCCAATGATATTATAGAAGCACTAACAGCAAAGTTTATTTATGATATTTGTCCCTTAGCACTGCAAAGTAATGGGCTGGATTAGGGAAGGCGGATTTAAATTCTGTTTCAGGTTTTTTTAACTGCTGTTGATACAGGGGTCTGCTTCAGTGTATCTTCTGGCAACCTGAATTATGCTGGTGATATATGGCATTTGTGCTGTACTAACCCTCTCAGAGCATCCATGAAAGGGCAATTCTGTGCCAGTTTCTGGCACTGTATCTCAGAGCCTCCTCCAAGATCAAAGTCCTCTGGTGTGGGTGGCACAAAAGAAATGGATCTATATTTTCAGGCTTTATAGGCATTTTAATTTGATTTTGTTTTCTGGTATTCAGACAGTGCTGCAGGAAGCCTGCAAGCTCAGCCTGTTTTCACTTTCAAGGAAGAAGAATCCAACCAGATATGCAGCAAGGTAAAATCTGAATCAGGCTTCTAGAAGTTATCAGGCAATGCACTCATATGTTTATTTACAAAATGGGTTTGCTGCAATGCAGGAAAGAACCACACCTTCTTAATGAAAAAAGACTAATGTGAGGGAAGTGTGCTGCAATGACTGGAACTGCTAACATTGGAATGAGTCAGGGGATTCCACTGAGATAAGAGCATACGATTAGTATAGTATATATGCTAAAAGGGTGGGGGGAAGGAAGGTTGCATATGCAAGTCTAGTTCTGGTGCTTTATAATATTGGAATGAATGATTTATTAATTTTGACATGCAGTATTTTAAAAAGATATACTTTAAAAGATTTCTATTCAACTGTCCTCCATTAATATTCATAACTCCAAGGCACCCAAACATCTTCAAATCTGGCTATGTTTTTGAATCTTAGTAAGTCCTGCAAGACATTCCACATCAAATTTTACAGCATCTATTATTTCTAAGTTTACAATTGTAAAACCTCTCCTCAGAAAATGTGAGAAATACAGGTCGTCTTATCCTCCAGAACAAACAAAAAACCCAACCCCTGCCTCAACAATATAATCAAACTAGAAAAAGAGAAATGGAAGAAATCCTTGACATGAATAAGCTGAGAAAACCTTGAAGAGGAATTTGCTTGAGGAAGTTTTAAGTAAATGTTGGAATATGTGTTGGAACTAAACTGTTAGAGATTGGTGAAATGTAATATCAAAACAAGGTCATGTCTATGATAAGATAAAGAAGTACACCCAAGTAGTAATATCAATGAGAAGTAGGAGATAGTACTAAGGTTAGATCCCTGAGTTAGCAAGGTATTAAGGCACAAATTTAGTTTTAAGTATGTGGTTAAGTCTATCTAGTTCAGCACAGCACATGCCTAACTTTAAGCACATTCTAAAATTTTTTGCTGAATTGGTTCCATTAACTCTCTTTCTTCATTATTTCCAGGTTGCCTTTAGCTATCTCCTATGAATAGAAACTATTTATGCTTTACTTTATAGAGCACAGCTGCCATCCAAAGATGTAGACTTTGAAAATGACAAGCTACTGAAAAAAAACAGATACAAAAAAGCAGCAGTAAAATGCCTTTCCTTGGCAAATAGAAAACAGAAATCCGTATAGCATTCTCCGGTCGCTGTAGTCAGTAGGTGCAGAAACTGGATAAATGAATTAATGGTTAAATAGGCAGCCATGAGTTCCCCTATTCTAATGGGGAAATACAAGCACAAAAGTAAGAAAATAAGGTATAAGTGGCAGCTACCGTTAAGATTCTGTGGGGCATTCAGTAGTTTATACCAATTAACATGCCAGAGTGGTTTCTGAGTGCATCTGGAATATTAAGCAGGGAAGGCAGAAGAAACACCCCTCTGAACTAAAATGTAAATCATTATCTATCACGTGTTACAACTGAGAAGGAGCCACCTCCGCAAACTAAATGCAGATGTCCTGCATCATTATTTAAGTGCAGGACACAATTATCATTCTCTAGGATGGAAAACCAGCCACCAATATTATTGCTTCTACTGCATATGGAGGGTGATCAAAGGTCTGCCTTTTCTGTGAGTTGAGTGCTTCTTCAGTAGAGCAGCTGCACCCTGCTTCTAACAGCTGGCATCGTGGTGTCTGAGATAAGAAAAGGAAATTATTACCAACAATTCCACCTCAGACACTGGTGCTTTCTGATGCCAAGAGCTGGGACGTGAAGTGTAGTGTGACTCATGATTCTTGTGATTGCATTTTTTTTATGAGATCAGAGATGATATAACTAACACGAACCTTTTCAAAGTTTAGTCATGCTCAGTTGTAGAGATGTCTGAAGACCGTGTTGTTATGAAACTCACAAATACAGCTGATGTGGCCTTCTACTCCTAGTAGATACTGCAATGCTAAATCAAAGTTACATACTTTTTTTTCTGAGAGTGGAAACTATTCTATTTTCCCTTTCCTTCTTGAGTGAAGGACATATTTTTGTCAGATATAAAAAAGAATGTTGATGAAAGTAACTATATTCTTCATGTTTCTGTGTACTGATTTTTCACAGCTTTTTCTTATTTTAAACCTGCAGGATCCAGAAAGTGCACACAATTCCCCTCTGCAAGGTCAGCTGGCTGGACAAGACTATAAGGATATCATCAGTAACATTTCAGACAGGTAAGTCTTTGAAATGCAGTTAAAACTACAAAAATAAATAATATGGATAATTTATTCTTATATTTCCAGAGCAGTCCTAATATGGTATGCAAATGCACCCATGTGTCCCAAATGAGAGAAATACAGTTCTATTGGAATGCAGCTTCATCTGCAGTAAAAGTTGCTAAACAGCTTTCACACAACTACTAAGACAAATGAAACGGAAGCTTCTAGATGTAACAGCTGGTGCAGACATGCCTAAGCTAGCTTTAGCCTTTCTAGCTGAGGAGGAGAGAGAACAGTGGTAGCACTATCACGTTGGTGTAGGCAGGGACCCCAAGTGTTTTACTAAGAGTTTCAAGCAGGTCTTGCAGCCTGGGCTGGACCCTGGGCTACTACGGCTGTAGTGAGATAGCTGTTGAACTCCCGGCATCTGGGAATCAAGAGAATTTGAAGATGTTACTCCAAAGAAAGTACGTAGCACAAGAAGGGAAGAATTTTACTTCAAATTTTAAATCTACGGTACAATGGGAAATCAAAGAATAATGGAGTGTTGATAAGACATGGGCAGTTTTGTCTATTACAATGATGCAGAATATATGAAATATGATTATTTTCCTTATAACTTATAACTCACATAAATGGAAAAAAGGACTAAATATTTACAATCAAAACTCAAAATTTTGTCAGAACAGTATTTGGCCCATCAATTAGGGATGAAAATCTTCCCTAACTTACCTGTTCGCAGAGATAAAGTTTGAAAGAAGCTCTGAGAACATCTGCAAGTGAGAACATCCATGTGAACATAAGCTCAGTGCCACTTGCCATTATCTCATTGCTAATACAATATTATCTTGTGATATACCACGTAATCAGGTGTGATTATTATTAAAGTATCTTCCTCTGTGTGCAAGATGCATAAATGCATCTATGGCTAACACAAAGTTATCTTATCATATATAGGGATAAAAATTATCTTTTCTGGTTGATTTGCAAATAGGATGGTTTTCTGGGCCCTGTCCTGTAATCTGAATCTTTTTACTACCAGTATTTTCTGGTATTTCTATTTCCTACTTGCAAAAGCTTTGTGTAACTTGAACATGCACAGCCTGCAATGGTTACTGATATTTGCAAAGCTGCTACTTAATATCTTATTCTCCCTCTTAAGTGTACCTTTTACTATTTTTAATATTATGCATAATGATCACACATAGGAGAGGATAATGTAAGACTGTAGTATGTTTAAGCCTACCAACATTGTTAAATGTTCAGTCTGAGGGTATTGGAGTTAGCCAGTAGGGGAATATTTGACCCATTCTGCACACATTACGGTTGTATTCTGGATTGTAGGCATATCTTCTACCTAAATCATAATTAAGTGCTCTAAAATTTTCTAAATTCTTTAGGAAACAGTAACAAGCAAAGCCTATTTAGCTATGATTGCCTGACAACTGAAAAATGTCATACATGAGAAATTGTCTATAACTGTGGCAAATCTTACTTCCAATTATTTTTTGGCAGCTTTTTATACGAAGTTTGTTCTTATCTCTTTAAAAAAATAAAATACCATATACAGATAATAGTGTTTTTCACTAGCCATATTTGCCAACACTACTCCAGACAAAATGCTATTATTATTCCTTGAACTTACATTCTTCAGTGTTCACACTAATTCTTGAAAATAGTTGCTTCAGTTAAAAGTTAAAAGTGATCAAAAATAGATGAAAACCAAAACCTTTGTGCGGTTCAGATTATTAAAGTTTCTGCCACCTCCATAAGACCATTCAACTAATCCTGTTTTACAGGTCACAGAAATCTACAGAATATGAAGGCTGCAGAAGAGAGAGTCAGCAGTCTGAGTCAGACAGCTGCAACAATGAAGATGACGATATGCCCCACAGGATTTCCTTTCTACCTAGAAGTAACCATGCAAAAACTTCTCTTGTTTCTTTAACATTATAGGCCAGCTCCTCTGTATATGTACAGTGAGAACAACACTAATCCCTTGGATACAAGCTAAGAATTTGGTCTTTGTGTCTCGAAGACCAGGGCACTCAGGACACAATTTTTACCATTGATAGACATGAAGGCCATTAAACCTTTGCAACATCCACAAGAAGGCCTATATCAGGAGCTCTCCAACTCTTTTGGAGATCTGCTAGAGGGAAGGAACATGAGTCTGAACGTAGTCAACTGAACCCAGGGAGGGCAATTCTGCTGGCTATCACCCATTGCCACGGCTCTGAGCACCTCTGTTTTGGAACTCCAGTTTCAAAAGGATAAGCAACTTTTTATTTCTGGTTTTGTGATTTTTCTTTTTGGTGTCTTTTGTTTTGTTTTATTTCTTGGGATTTTTTTTTTGGTAATGTTATATATCATGACCTTCCCCAAAGGAAAATCTCTGAATACCTTGATTATAGACAATTACAAACTGATCAAATAAGAGGAAAAGAAAATTTTTGAATTAATTTGAGCAACATCATGATATTTGTTCAAATTATGCACTATTGGATAGTACAAAGAAATGACACATTGGCTCAGTGGCTGAACAAAACAAATGAACACTGCAAATTGCATTAGAAGCAATTTTCTGGGAGCTTCCCAGTGCATAATTAAAAAAATCAAATTTCTACATTTGCCCCAAAATGAATAAAATAAAAGTAGGTGGATTATCTTAATAGGGATACAGTAAACAGACTGGATGTAATAGAAGGTCTTTTTCATATATGAAAGACAATGAAACAGAAGGCTTTGAAAATTAATGGAACACATTCCAGGAACATACTACAAAATGTTCTTATTATCACTGGATGCAATAGGTTTTTGAAATAATTCTCCCCTCTCCCTTACTGTTCCCATACAACTCCAAAAGTAAATAAAACGCTTACACAGAAATGTAGAATGAAGGTCCACGTTCTATCTCAAGACTTTGTTCCCAGAATCACCAAATTTCACTTCATGTAATAACTTCATGAAAACCTCTAGATCTAATGTGCTTAAAAACATACTGGAGCACTTTCACAGCTCAGGTGCTAAAGGCTCACTGATATCACAAGACACTTCACAGAAAGAATCTGCCTAGTTGTTCCTGTAGGAAATTAAGCTGGCTCAAACAAGAATAATATGTGAAAAGGATCATACTGAGGATGCTGCAGTATCCCATAGATTCTCTGAAATACAGGTCTCTTCCTGCTTCTTCTTGCCCTGTGGAAGCAGTGAATTGCTGATGGCTCTTATCAGAAATAAATCACAGTTATCTCTCTCACACTGCCAAGGTGCCCTGGCTAGCAGACAGAAAATTATAACCAATCTATCCTCTGGTACTTCCTCAAAGTTTGGGGGTTTTATTCCACTTGATCTGGAAGGAAGGAGATGTGTGTATGAGAAATAGCGCGCTCTGTCTGGAGCAAGGGATCTGTCTTCACTGGCACTCTCAACTAGTTAATAGAACCGCCTGTACATCTGTGAGGGTCAGAGAATAGAAGGGGAAAGTGTTTTAGAAGCTCAGGCAAGGCAGGTGAAGTTGTCGCCCAGACAAAAGCATAGCAAGCACAACGCTTTTGTAATGTAGATTAGTCAAGAGTAGCAATGACATCTTGCCAGAAGAAAACAGAGCATTGTTCCTTGTCTTCAGCCTACAACAAACCTGTGGAACAGATCATCGGGTTTTCTTTGAGACAGTTGGCATGTTATTCTTGGCCAACAGCAGCCTATAACTTAAAGTAGAAATTCCATAATTCCTCTGCCTCATTCCACTATTTTTTACCAAACAAGCTACTGGGTTTACTCTACATGGTAACAAAAGTTTTTCAATTGCTCCAGTAGAGCAGTGATATTTCTGGAGATATAAAAGTTTATCCATCTTCTTAATCTTCAAGTTTTGGATCAGAACCTATACTTCAGCATGAGCTAATTAGTAAAACTGAACCCTGATTTTGGTGCATCAAAGATATTTCACATCTTGTTCTTGAAGCGCAGTGTGAAGTAAGATGAAAAGAACAAGATATTTTCTTATTTCAGGGAGGAAGAATTTGCAGGGATTATTCCTAGTAGTAGCATGTGGCAATACTAATTTTCAGGAAAGTGTTGGAAACATGAAGATGATTCCCTGTAAAGATGTGACCAGAGTCTCCTATACCAATATAAGCTAGCATTGAATTTTACAATTCTGTAAGAACAGTTTATTTGGTACAGACTATTTAGAGATTGCAATAAGGCAATGAGGCAATGAGTTGCAATAGTTGGATCTGCTTCCAAATTACCCGAAATGCGGTGCTGGTTGTATCCATGGTGCTGACTTATTCTTCTTTCTGCTGTGAGCATAAATCAAAAATATTTTTTCATTTTTCACTTCCACAGTATAAGGATCAAAATGTACTTCAGTACTGCAGCCCCCTAGTATTTGAATTCAAGACTTTGCACTATGAATAATAATAATTAAAAACTCCTTTGTTTTTTGTTGATATATAGGCAGAACTTTTGCTTCTGGAGATGAACTGGCTCAGTTAATCAACCTTAAACCATCACTCACTGAAGTAGGTGCAAGGACTGGCATCACAGGTCTTATTCGAGGTCTTCAGTCACGGATTGAGAATCAAGAGGTGTTAAAGGAGTTTATGGTAAAGTGTGATATATTTTTAAGATCTGAGTGTTTAATAGAGCTAAGAAAGTGACTTTTAGCAGCCTTCTGCATACTGTATGGGACATTGACTTGTATATCTTTAGTGACTCCAGAATGGGGCTTCTACTCTGCTGTTTGAGTGGTGCTACAGTATTTGGATCTCTCTTTCCACGCAGGTCAGGCTTACATTGTTCCTTGTCAAAAGATACTGCCCACATGGAATGAAAAATAAATAATCCATGAAAGTAGAGTATGAATCACTTTTTCTTAGACTGACTGCTTCCTATTACCCCCTCAGCTCTGCTGAACATCTGCCTAAGAACTATTCTAGAGGCCACATTAAAGCAAGAAATCCATGCTGCTAGGGATTCACTAGTGTTGAAACATTTAGTTGACGAAAGGAATATGTTTCACGTAATGCTCCAGTGATCCATGGAACTCATTGCCAAAAGACGCTATTAAGGTCAGGAACTTGTTAAAATTAAAAAGAAAAAGTATTGTACCTCCATAGATAATGAAAACACATAATTACATCTGATGGCATATAAATCATGAAAAAGTGTAAAATTAGGAAAGCATATAAATTATCTTCTTTCGGGATATAAATAGAGTACTCAGTTATCAGCAAATTCCCAAAGAACAGATTATTTCATAACTCTTCAACACAGTACTGGAATTTCCTTTAAAGGATGTACTCACCACCAGTGAAATAGATTGCTACCACTTTTCCATAGTAATTACAACGTTATCAGTTTCTCTCACTTGCCTTTGTATCTCCTTTCTGGGTACAAAATCCCACAGGCTCAACTGTATAGGATTGGCTGACTTTCCCTGAAGGCTCAAGGGCATGTATTAATTTCCATTCATTCCAGTCCGTTACTGATGTAGGCATAGCGTACTATGAGCTGAGTCACACATCTGCACAGAAATCATAAAGATCTAATAGGGAAAGCACTGATTACCAAAGCCAATGGATATTTTACCCGAGTAGAAGCTGCAATAACTGATTGTCATGGTTTTGGCTACCTCAAGCCGGGAGACTGATGAAGATGTTAAAGAATTGTCACATGTATTTCCGTCCGTATACACTGTATAGTGGCATACTGTGATGGCTGAACATTGTGCAATGCATACCAAAGAGGTAAAAAACTAAAGAAAAGTGAAGGTAACTCAAAACTGTACATGAAATTAACTTTCACATTCCTGCTTCCAGCTACACTGCATTCTGTCCCCCTAAATCTGCTACAAAGTACTTAACGACCATACGATTTGCACTTAACATCATTGATGCTGTTCCCTATATCCATCAATTTCTCTGTCACTGAAAAGTATTCACTGACGTTCAGTACCTGTTAACAGTGCAATAGTTGGTTCTTTAGTCAGTCTGTTATTAATGATGAATGCTGACATTTGGCTAAGGCACTGTTCCAAACATCTATCTTACAGCAATATACAACAGGGATTTGTAATGAGAAGAGCTGAGGATATGGGTTGGAAATCTCACTTGAAAACCCCAGAAATTTTGTGCAGGCTGAAGGAAATACAAAGCAATTTGAATTCCTTGCCTAGAAGTTTAGAGAATGATGTACTGATTCTCTGCTGTAAGAAGTCTATTTACCAGTCTTAGGTCACGTATAGCAGTAAAGTTTGCTCATACTGACTCTGTAAAGGTTGTCTATAAAGGATGTGAACAACATGGACTGACTATTTCTCTTTGATCTAGGCTTTAGAACATGAGAAACCAATAGATGACTGCAGAACTGGCAAAGCACCAGAAAACCAGGATAAAAACAGATACCGAGATATTCTTCCATGTAAGTATGCACACTAATGAGAACATGCATTCAGTGAACAAAGACAACAGAAAAACTGTGATAATTGAGATGCAGGAGGTGCAAATCCCACCACATCCTTAGTCACAGAGAGTTCCACTAGTAATGAATGTGTTGAGTGTTCAAGGCCAGGCTGGATGGGGCTTTGAGCCACCTGGTCTACTGGAAGGTGTCCCTGCCCATGGCAGGGGGGTTGGAACTAGATGATCTTTAAGGTCTCTTCCAACTCAAGCCATTCTATGATTCTCTGCTTTTTCCAAAAGGTAGAGTTCACGTAAGGATGTCTGCATTGCACAATATGTAATTTTCTGAAGTATCATCTTCCACAAGGCAGGACTTGGTCTGGTAGGGGGCCAGCTGTCTTGGTGTTTCCTTCCCTCTTTCTCAGAGATATCGATCTACATTTTTGTGGGCAAGTGTAACTTGAACTATAATAGGAGTTCTTTAAATTTATTTAAATGTACAGGTACATCTACTGCTTATGACAACAGTGGAATTCTGAAAAGTACAGTGGAAATCACAGCGTTATGTATGTCTTGGAAAGATAAAGATACTTTCACAGGTATTTGAAAGCATAATACCCAACCAGAGCTTTCAGCTGCTCGGCTCCGATCTGAGTCAGAAAAAAGTTTCATCACTCATGAGAACTCATTTTAGAAGGAAGATTTAAGTCCAAGAGCTGAATGACTGCTGTTACAAGGATTTCAAAAAAATAATGTACTGCCCAATGATTCACCAAGAGGTATCATGACAGAGGGAGAACACTTTCTGGACCCTTGATGTCTTTCTAAACTGCAGCAGCAGGACAACACATGCAAAATTTGTAGCACAGTTACCTGTCTGTATCAATGATACAGTATACATTCTCAAAATGTTCTGTTTTATAACAGCAATACCCAGTCACAATGTTCCCATGCCATACATTAAAAGCAGTGTTGGATACACTATTTTGAATCACTGCCAAACAATTCTATGGTAATTAGAAGGCTTGTCAGAGTGTTACACAAGTATCTTAAGAGAAATAAAGCTGCAGTGAACCATATAACTTATCTGTGGGAATTCCTATTAGCAGTGATTAATATCAGTGCTACTAGCCAAATGTATTCTAAAATCCAGAGGCACTTTGCTGTTAGGCTGAGGTTCCCCATCTCCTGAGTGCCAGAGATGGTAGAATTCTGTTTCAGATCTACAGCTGAAATAGCAACTTTCTGTTTTCCTACAGATGATAAGACACGAGTTCCTCTGGGAGAAAAGAATGGCTACATTAATGCAAGTTACATTAGAATGGAAGTTGGAGAAGAGGAACATTTCTATATTATAACCCAAGGGCCTCTGCCATCCACTACGGCTGATTTCTGGCAAATGGTCTGGGAGAGTGAATCAGATGTGATTGCCATGATGACAAAAGAAGTGGAGCTAGGGCAAGTCAAATGTCATCGATATTGGCCTGAACCTCCCCATGACTCTATGGACCTGGCTAATTTCCATCTCAGGCTAAACAATTACCAGATTCTGGAGTACTTCATAATTAGAGCAATAGAAATTATCAACAAGGAGGTGAGTTAAGTATATTTAATACTTCCATATATGATGAAATTGATTAGATATTTTACATAAGTAACTACTAGTATTATTGTTTGCTTCCTCTGTAACATTTGATTAGTATTTTTTAGGAATGTAAAAATCTGAATAACAGACATGAAATTAGGGTTAATGAGATGCTGCTTCTTTACTCACTACAGAAGCAATGGATCCAATATTACATACATCTGGACAAAAATTTCCAAAAATTAGTCTTTTAATGGTTATAGAGCTGGTGCGTTCAGTGTTTTGCAGAATTGCTTACTGTTCTCATCAAATCAAAGGGCTGCCAGAACAGATTCATATTCTGTAATGGTGGCTGGAAGGAAAGGGGGGAAGAAGGTGGTTTTAATCCTAGAATTTAGAACAAATGATACTTCTTTCATTCATGAAAAGACATGAATACACACAAAACTACACATACAGGAGCTAATTTTTAGAAAACTAACAAATACAGAATCCAGGTGTAAGAACGTGGAAATCAAGGCAACTATAAGTCCATCAGTATTGCCTCAATATTAAGTAAGGCTTTGCAAAAACTTTTGCAGGACATACTAATTAATGGAATAATTAAAAATTTTGTACTTTTGCCGGACTAACTTGGTGTCTTTTTCCATCAAGAAAACAATATCTTTATATGAAGAAAACACAATTCACCTTATGTCCCTGAGTGTGAAGCATAGTAAAGCATTTGCTATGAGTCTTCCCAAAAGATTATTAGGATGGGAAGATGGGCCATTATATGTGATTGTTTCAATGAACATGTTATGTTTGCAATGTTTGTCTTGGACCAGTATCAAATTACTACAGAAAGCCACAGGTTTACTTCAGCAGAAATCCAGACATGCATTGAAATTCTTCTGATGGTAAGAATCCAGGTAGTTCTTTTGCATTCAGCTTAACGTGTTTTGGCAAGCTGGCAACAAGAAGTACTGTCTCAGGACCACTCAATTAATAATACTCTTTTTTTAATCTACATTATGAATATTCTTGTAAGCATTTTTTTAGTTGATTTGGCTTGTATGTTAGGGTATGTTAGGGTATCTAATCACAACTTGTTCTTTTATGTCTGATAGCCAGAATAGCATTAACAATTTTACTATTGTGGCTATCATATTACTACTCTTTGATTAGTATGTCTTAGTTCGGTTACAAAAACAATTTTAGAAAACTGTACTGGAATGTTCCAATTTAACAAATGTTTTCAGTTTTCCTTTCTACCCAACAAATAAGATAACTACATCCTTTTGGGGCAACAGAGTAACTTCAGTGTCTCATCAAAATTATATGAAGTAGATTTCCTAGGCCTGTGTTCTGAGTGCATTTCTGAAAACCTAAAAGAATCCTTAATAGGATCAAGTATGAAAATCTGCAGAATTGTAGGATAGACAAAAAATTGACTAAGAATGAGGCTGAAGGAAAATTTATCAGTGGAATTCCTTGAAAATCAGTCTTAGGATTGATCATTTTTAACATTTCTGGTCTTTCTGTTCCAGACAGAAGAGAAGCGCATTGTAAGTCATTTGCAGTTTACCACTTGGCTAGACCACAATATTCCCGAACTGGCTGAGCAGCTTGTAAAATTTATTTCTTACATGAGAAAAGCTCACAGTACAGGACCTATTGTTGCTCACTGCAGCACTGGCATTGGAAAAAGTGGAGTTTTGCTGTGTGTTGAAGTTCTGCTCAGCTATATAGAAAAAGATTTACATGTAAGTATCAAACAGATCATCGTTAAGTATTACAAACTGGTACGGATGTCAGCAAAGTGGGGTTATCTTAGACCAGAGTAATTCCTGGTAGAATTCACCCTAACAAAACGGAATAAACCCAGCTTTTCTTGTTTTGAACAAGAAGATAATAACTAAAAAGATACCATTTGTAAAAGAACTGAGTCACAGCTTCCCCATCTGAACATGCTTAAATCTTTCTTTATAACTTTCATGTCAATAAAAAACTGTTCTCTTCTGATAGTTCAACATCAAGCAGATAGTGAGAGATTTGAGAGCTCAGCGCTTTGGCATGATCCAAACTAAGGTAAGTTCTTAATATTCAACTAGATTATGATTTTTAAAAGCCTCAGTTAGTGGTACATATACACATGTACACATGCTTTGATAAATCTGGGGCTTAAAGCATAATTTTAGCCTTCTCATTTGAGGAAAATAACAGCCTTCCAGGCAAGTGCTGTCTAGATTTAAATATGAAAGGTCTAGACCTTACTAACTCATTGAAATAAAAGCAAAGCACCAATATAGTACAGATACCAGTGTCAGTGTCCGCCCGTCCGCGCCCCCCCCCCCCCCCGGCCCATTTTTTTTTTTTTTAAGCAAAAAGAACAGCAGGGATCAACAGCAAACCTGGTGAGATACCATAAACTCTACTCTTCAAAATTGCGGCCTTCTGTTGAATTCTTGCTGTTGCTGATTTATCATCATCCCAGTAAACCCCTCTACTGCTGAGTTAAACCTACCTCTGAAAAGAGTTTTCACACAGGAAAAGAAGACAAGATGCAGCTAACTCAATTTAGAGCAACCAGGTGGTGGGAAGAAAAGTAAGGCAAGACTAGGATAAGTTCTTCCTATTGGCAAATATTTTATCACACGCTTTGATATGTTTTTCTTCAGGGTAGTGATTGATCATGTGATTAAAATTAAGCAAATAGATAACCTTCACTGACCTAAATGAAACTTGAGCACATGCATACAGGTACTGCATTGAATAAGAAAGTGCTCCTGAACTTTTACAAGTGATGAAACAAAAAGAACAAGGATGCTCCTAAATAGCTAAGTTTTTGTATCCATGTTACAAAGATCCTGATGTTATAAACAGCACTTCAGCCAGTCCATCCTTCTTTGTCTAGAATTTATGTTGAACGTGACCAGGTGTTTCACATTGGTGTCTCTGCATACAGGATGAGTATTTATTCTGTTATGAAGTTGTGCTGGAAGTCCTTCAGAACCTTCAAGCAATGGATTCCTACTGACTGCAATACGACTCTGTTACTATTTCCCTTGGACTCCAGGGGACCACCCAGCAATTGCTTTAAAGAGATGTCAAGCCAGCATGGACAAGTGTTGTATTACATGCTTATTTAGATCACTCTGATTTCTAAGGCATTTCAAAACCTTGCTTGACATGTCCTAGGGAAGTCATTTAAATCCTTGCTCACAGTTTGGAGAAACAGCCGGCCAGCCCTGCAACACTGCTGTTAAATTGCCATGGGCAATTTGCGTGTTCTGTGTAATAACATATTAATTGTTAGGAAAATATTTTGGGACTGTGACAAGGAGATAGAAGCCTTTGGAATTAGCTTTTCTTTCCAGAGGGCAACTACAAAGATCTAAGATTCTGCTGGTGTTGGTGGAAGATTAGCTGTCCCTTACATGTTGTTCTGTACTATTGGCTTCTGGGCTGCAAATCAGTATTTTCTATAGTAGTTATGCTTTTGTGTGGAAGGACTCAATTTGTTTACCTTTGGTTGCTTGAACAATGTAGAACCATTTCTAGTCATCACTCCAGCCCAGGAATTTATACCACCATCACTAGACATCTGAAATCAAGAAACTGACAGAAAAATAGGATGCCTTTAAAGCCTGGTTGGTTCTCTTCAAAGCATGAAGAGCATTCTAATAATTGGACGGAATATTAATTTTTCCCAGCAATATGAACAGCTGTAGATAGTATCAGTATTCTTTCATTCTGCATCCATGTAAAAAGGAATGCAATACTAAGCCAGATGAAATGACTGTGTGTGCATTGTGGCTCACATACACATTTCATCTTCCCCTGATCCTTTCCATTGATTAACTATCTTGTAATTCTTATCAAGGATCTGAACCAATCTATGAGAAGTCCCACTGGTTTCAGCAAGGGCTGAATCAGATCTTTACATTAGAATAAATAACTCTCTGTACAGTTTATTTCTCTTGTAAAATGTGTTTATGTTAGTGTGAGTTTGAGGAGTTGAGTGGAAACCTGCTGTTCAAGTTTGTATTGTACTTGTTTCCATAGTACTATTTCTAAGTCCTTTATCTAGAAGGTGATATATATGGAAGTGAACTTACTAGATGTGCGTTGGAAGAGTAACTTTTAAACATAGGAAAATATAACAGCATTTATTTATCTGAATTGTATATATTTTTAAAACTTCTTTGATTTCAGGAAAGGAAAAAATTTTAAGAGGCATTTGAGTATAAAACTGCATTAGAAACAAGACAATAAAATAGCTGTTTATTTTCATTAAGAATGAGAGGTTTATGGTTCAGAAAGAATGAGAGATTAAATACAAATCGAAGGTATGACTTTTAGAAAAAGCCACTGTAATGCAACTACAATTAAGGCCAAGGGCCATTTTTTCTTTCTGCCCTCCGATAGTCTGCTGGAAGTCAGGAAAAGATAGAAATGAAATTTATGATGTGAGCCAGATGCTAATTTCAAACATATTGATCCATAGAGATCCAGAGTAACGCTAAATTAGTGGAGTAACCCTGGACGTATATTGGTATAAACATAAATAGAATTCAATGTTTTGTCTTAAAGTCATTGAATTTGAGCCTTCCCAGAAGCATTACTCTCCATACATTCTGCATTTACTATCTTTATGTTGCATATAAAGGATTATTTGCACAGTTTTGTCGAGTGTCATCAGCCAAATTTTTGTTCATAACTTTGTTACCTTCATTTGGTATTTGGCCTTTCACTTTGATTTTATTTACTGCACATGTACTGCTATGCAATGAATGCACTAAACTGCACACAAATGCACAATTCACTTTTTGTACCACAACAACTTGAAAAAGCTTCTCAGTGAAAATATTCCTGTACTTAATGCAAAGGTGTTTTTTCTGTGGTTTAGAACAAGAATTCTGGATTTTGAAGGCAATCGTCATGGCACTATTTGTTCCTCCATATTTGTGCATCATCTTTGCGGCTGTTTAACAGAAGTGTTTGCTGTTTGACAGAAGTTTTTCCTGTTTTACAGGGATATTAAAAAGATTTCTGAAAACACTGTATTGTGTTTCTTTTCAATTCCTTTTGATGAAAAGGCAGCTGTAATATTTAACTACTAACCAGTAACAGCTCTAGGGAAAATAGTCTTCTATTAATTGAGGCTTATATTTAAACTTCTTCTAAAGGTGGATTTTGTGATCATGGTACCTTTTATACATTCCCCTGAAGCAGGTATTACTGCCCTCTGAGACATTCTACCATATCCCATGTTCTTATCCTTTAGGAATATAATAATTATATGCTTTTAAACAGATACTATGGTTATGATCCCCATAACGACATCCTCACTCAGACTGAACTCTGTTTTGGATGAGAGATACATTTTTACACAGATATAGTCCTCTAAGGCTGCTAGCAGAGTAAGCAGAACTGTCCTTCCAGATGTTTCCCAATCTGTTATATAACAAAGAAACTTTCACCCCCAGAAAATCTCAGCGCCTCCCAAACCAATGTTGAGGGGAGCCAGATAGATGCAATTTACCACATGCCGGGTGACAGGCCCTCCATCTGTCACAGTCACACAGCGATCCCACAGAGCAAGTATCTCAATCCATGGTCTGAAAACATTTTAAGAAAACTGCAGACTTGCAAGGGTTCTTGCACATGTTTGAAGCTAAAGGCTGGTCACCTTAGTACTAGAACCATTCATGAGCTCCACTGCTGCAGACAGCCTAGACAGCAGTTAAATTTTGAGGAAGGAAGGACTGAAATGACAGACACAGCTTCTTCCTACAGTAGACACCATGTTTGGAGAAAGAAACAATGAGTCATCACCAGAAAGTGCTTAGCAGATGTGGCTGCTGTATATGCTTTCTTGGAAATGCCAAGGAACCATCTGTTCTCAGCTTCCTTTTAAAGGCAGGATTCAGGGATTCAACTTCCAGCTCTACTGCAGACTTCCTGAATAAGCCAAACCACGTATACAGGATTCTCTCTGCCTCACAGGTTTCCTCACAGAATCATAGAATACCAGCTTGGAGGGGACCTCAAGGATCATCTGGTCCAACCTTTCTTGGCAAAAACACGGTCTCGACAAGATGGGCCAGCACCCTGTCGAGTTGAATCTTAAAAGTGTCCAATGATGGGGAATACATCATTTCCCTGGGGAGATTATTCCAATGGCTGATTTTTCTCATTGTGAAAAATTTTCCTTTTGTGTCCAATTGAAATGTCCCCAGGAGTAACTTGTACCTGTTACCTCTCGTCTTTTCCATGTGACTCCTTGCAAAAAGGGAGTCTCCATCTTCTTTTTAGCCATTCTTTAGATACTGGAACATGGTGACAAGGTCTTCCCTAAGCCTTCTTTGCTCAAGGCTGAATAAACCCAGCTCTCTCAGCCTTTTCTCATATGGCAGGCTTCCCAGTCCTTTGATCGTCTTTGTAGCCCTTCTCTGGACCCTCTCCAGCCTGCCCACATCTTTTTTTGAATAGCTGGGTCCAAAACTGAACACAGTGTTCCAGGTGTGGCCTGACACTGAGTAAAGTGGGATAATGACTTCTTTATCTTTGCTGGTGATGCCTTTGTTGATGCAACCCAGCATCCTGCTGGCGTTCTTTGCCACAGCAGCACACTGTTCACTCATATTGAGCTTGTTGTTCACCAGCATCCCCAGGTCCCTTTCACAGACCTGCTTCCCAGCTGGGTAGATCCCAGGCTGTGCTGCACTCCTGGATTATGTTTTCCCAGATGCAAGACCTTACACTTGTCCTTGTTGAACTTCATAAGGTTCTTGTTAGTCCACTCTTCCAGCCTATTCTGGTCTTCCTGCAGGGTCGCTTTCCCTTCCAATGTGTATATTTCCCCACTCAGTTTGGTGTCATCGGCAAACTTCGTTAGGATACAATTTATCCCATCATCCAGATCACTTATGAAGATACTAAACAGCATTGAGCCCAGTATCGATTTTTTGGGGACCACATGTGTGACAGGTTGCCAGTTTGAAAAGGAGCTATTTACCACCACTCACCAGGTGCAGCCTGTCAGCCCGTTGGTGTCAACCCACCACACAGACCACTTGTCTGGACCGTAACACATCTGTTTCTCTTGGATGAGGCTGTAGGGAACCATGTCGAAAGCCTTCGAGAAATCCAAGAGATGACCCCTCTGATCTTGACCCATTTGATGATCTTGAGCATTTGATAGGGCTTCCACAATTGCTGTAGTTGAATTCTATACATTCAAGGTTCTCCTTAACATAGATCACAACTACTCCTCTTTTTCCCTGCCTGTCTTTACAAAACAGCCTATAGCCATCCATCACAATCCTCCAGTCATGTGAGTTGTCCCACCATGTTTCAGTTATTCCTATGATATCACAGCTTTCTGACTGGGCACGGAGCTTCAGTTCCTCCTGTTTGTTCCCTGTCGTGTGTGCATTGGTATATATATACTTGAGGTGGTTGATCTTCTGGTTCTCATCTTGAGAGGCGGCTAGGGGACATTTGGTGCTGCTCTGGTTGGCACAGCTTATTCCCCAGTTGGTTACAGTGGCATGAGTGTTGCCACTTTGGACCCACCCCTGGAGTCATTCAGTTTCTTCTTGTACACTGCATTGCTGCGGTACGCTCGTATCCTTTATGGATGGGGCCACTGAGCTCAAAGTGCAGATAAACTGAAAACAGCTAGAAGACTGTTAAGCAGCATTTAAGTATAGGGGAATCTGGCTACATCCAGCAGCTCATACACCATGTTCCCCCATACACAGCACAAATGAGAGTCCCACTTTTGTGTTCTTAATTCATGCAAAACTCCCATGGAGATCAGGGTTCATTGATACGCATTCATTTGGAACAAGAGATAACCAACTCCTTCAAGAGCTCAAACTACTTGACAAGTCAGGCTAAACTGGAAAGAAAGGAAGATCTACTGTCCCATTTTGGTCATAGGGAAGTGAGACAGGGGTTGGTAACTTGTCTAAGGTCTACAGAGTTTTGGGAAAACTTGGGAACTAAACCCAGATGATATAAGCTCTG